TCCAGCCGAGACGACCAACGAGCCATCGTGGCTCGGCGAGCGGCCTCACGCCACTCGCTTATCTCTTCGGGCGGGGGCCGACTGCCACTATCCGCCCAATACCAAACAAATAACAAATTACACCCAGCCCAGGGGTAAACTCCACTCGAAGGGCCCAGTCGTACCCTATGTTCCACATTAGGGGTCCAAGAACAGACCCCTGTGGAACACCGCACGACATGGGCCGACACCTCAGATTACCAGCTCGGTCCTCGTACTCGACGGTACGCTCCTCTAAATAGTCTGCCACTAGCCGCCTCAGGTACTCGGGCACCCCATGAAAGTGTAGTGCTTCCCTGATGCAGCTGAATGGCAGTCTGTTGAATGCGTTGGCGATGTCCAATGACACCGCCAACAGCACGCCGCCACAGCTCACCGCCTCTTCGGTCACGGCCCTCAGGCGTAGCACAGCGCCGACCGTCGAACGCCCCACTCGAAAGCCGAATTGGGCGTCCGACAGGTCCGGGCCCACCTCGTTGAGGCGGACGATGCGGGCAGAGAGAACCCTCTCAAACAATTTACCCGCCTCGTCCAGCCACACATTCGGCCTGTAGGCCGCGACCGAATCGTCAGGCCGTCCCGGCTTCCTCAATAGGACCAGCTTCCCGCTCTTCCAGCACTCAGGAAAAGGTCCGGACACCAAGCTAGCGTCGAACACCTCCCTGAGGCGGTCTGCCATGTGATAAAGGGCTAGGGCCAGTACTCGGGCCGGTATCCCTTCTGGCTCAGGGGCGGTGTTCTTAGAACGGATCCGTAGAACAGCCGCCCCTACCTCCGAATCCCGGACGGGCGGAACATCATCCACGTTCTCTCCGTCGTCGACGGCCAAGGTAACCATCGACGGGGGTGTGTGTTCCACCCGTTGCGGGAACAGGCCCTCCACCACTTCCTGCAGGAAGCTGGGCTGGAGAGTCTCCGTAAGAAACTTGAAACAAACCCTATACCAACCCGTCTGGCCAGAGTGGTACAGTAGGCCTAAACCTTTCTGAGGAGAGGCCTACGTCCAGCAGTGGACTAGTAAAGGCTGTTGATGATGATAAGTAGGTATTTTTAAAATAAAATCTCCAAAGGTGTGTATATATTTTAAAATATATTTATATTTAACTTTGTACGCACCGCAGTGCTAATAATACGCTTTGTCATAATCGCAGACTGGTCACAAACGCGTTTGCGACTGCGGCTGATCACGCGCTGCATCCGTATAAAAATAACTCTCGTACTAACGTTCAGCCGCAGTCGCAACTCGGGTTGCCAACACAAAAGTAAATCTTATACAATAATTCATGTGACAATTCGACAGAAAGTATAGTTTAGGGATATCTGGAGCGACTGCCTTTCTAGGGTATACCTGGTTCCCCGGCTATTAGTACCCGAGACGGCGTGCGGTTTTAGTCGGTTCGAGTCCGACATGCCACCGATAGTATCCGAGGGGATTTCCGCAAGGAAAAAACAAAAAAGAAAGGGATATCTGGAGTACATTAATAACAATTTTTTGGGACATCTGACACAACGCCATCTAGTTTCAAACTAAGCAGAGTTTGTACTATGAATGCTAGATTTACGGATAGAATACCTTTATAATAACAATAAATCTAAATCATATTTAGACTCTGTCAATCCATACAATACAATAAGTACCAAATGATTATCAAAATATATACATATACTCGTACTAGTGGGATTTGTAAGGCGCTGCCTTAGTGGTGTAGTACGGTACGGGACTGCAGTCCATGAAGCCTTGGGTTCGATTCCGAATGGGGCAAAATTTTATAGGGTTTTTCTGAGAGGAAGAATAGCCCAAGTTACTCCTTATATAGACAGCTACCTGGTAGTAAATTATTATAAAAATCGGCCCAGCCGTTTTGAAGACTACCCGGCACAAACAGCAAGGAAACATTGAAACTGGTTTTAAGGCATAGGTATAGTGCAAATAACCGTGTTATGAAAAATACCTATTATTTTGACATTACAAACAGAGATTTCAACTCTATTTATTTGAACAGATATACATTAACCTCTATTAAGTGTGCTCATACTAAGTGACCCGTTTAGCGATGAGAGAAGGGGGAGCTCTTTCAAAATACCACGCATATTCACAGGGGGCTTAGTTTTTGTCACGTAGTCAATATCCTGGAGGGAAATCTTGAGCTTTTTCAAAAATGGACTCAGGACTTATATCAGCAAAATATATTATTTTCAACTGTCTGTTTTATAAATCTGTTAAATAAAATCATATTTATAAATTACTAAGTGAATGAAAACTAGAGGGCGGGTTTTTGCATATACTAGTGGTCATATACTACATACTGGTGGTCACCGAGTTGTGGGGGATGGTTAGAAATTGTATCACATTGGGACTAATCCCACCCACACGCCCACCACTGTAACTCCTGTACACCAGGATCCACAGCAGTGACCCACGAACACACCGAGTTATGACACTCGGGAAGTCCCAGGAAGAAATTAAACTGTCTTGGAATCCGCAACGAAATTAATCAGAAGAAAATTGGAGGAGTTGGAAATACAGTATCACATAGGTACATTCCCTTATATTACGTCTGCCTTTCTTCACAATATTTCTTTAACTCTTAGGAGGTCGCGGCGCGCGGATGACCTATGACCCGTTACTGTCGCGCCCTTGAACTAGTGACCCAGTCACAGCTGAGCGAAGTCATTATTACCTCAATATCTACGTTATTTTATAATTATATTCAATGAAATAAACATATTTGGAATCCCTGATATATATTCTTCTAAATGTTGTGACAGAGACGCTACCGCGTAAAAATTTGGTGTCACAACTGTTGTGACGTCGACGCGTCGGAGGTTAACGATACCCACAATATATATATACTCCTTCGAACCACCCTAAACACACTTTCTATCAAACTGTTCTCTTATTTAATTAATATATTCTATTTTACAGTAATTTACAATATATATAAAGTTCATAACATTTTGATGTTAGCATTATTTTAGTCAAGTCGCTCCTTGATTCAGACCCCATGTTGGGTCGGGAACTAATCAACGTACCTGTATATAGAGATAACACAGACAGAGGAGTGCAGGTATTGGACTGGCTGTAAGTGGAATAGCGACGTAGAAAGAGAAAGAAGACGGCGATTTAAATGCTTCTCTCTCGCACCTATTGTCCGATTTGTTGGTCAGCATGTTAGACTAACATTCTGAAAACTATATTTAGTGTTCTGTGTTTATCTGTCTTTATTTATCACTTATATACGATAGTAGATACCGCCTTCTGTCTGTGTGTAAGACTCATAAAAAAACAATATTAACACCAAAACAGTTAATCATATAAATAACTAATGAATTAATTACTAACCAACTATATGACAAACAATATAATAACGCTAAAAACGTTAAGCGCACAAATATAATACGCACCACAGTTCATTTGTATCATACATAAATTATATCAGCCATTGATTACGTGGACTGTTTCCCGTGAGGTTTTAATATGGTTTATTCAATATGGCAAACACCAAACGTGACGTCACATCTTAGTATTTCATACAAAACTATCCCCCCCCCCCACCCCCTTGTGATTGTTTTAGGAGACTAACTGCCGTCACACTCTATGGGGATGTCACTGTATTGAGCCATGCTCTTCTGTCTTACTTCACGTTATGGATGATTGCAACTTGTGTCCGTAGAGTGTCTCCATGTCAAAATATTAGTGTTCCAGATCTAACACTATCTTCTCCTACCCTAGTCACTCTCCACTCTCACTATCCAGGTCTAAACAAATAAATATTTTCGTTGAATTTTCATTCTGTTTATTTGTTAACTGGCTTCTGGCTATATATTGTTCTAATACTCCTGGTGTGATTAAATAAACAAACATCATCAACAGGGGATGGCGAGCATTGTTCAGTTCACGTAATTAATGGCTACTACCTTACTTTGACTATATTTTATTTACACAATACACGTAAATAATTGTCCGTGTGGTGACGGATTAAGAATACAGAGTGTCACCACCCCTATTCATCCCATGGGTGTCGTAAGAGCCGACTAAGGGAACAAACTACGCAGGACAACAGCAATGCAGAGAGAAGGAAAACTTGACGCAACAAACTCTATACCAACCAGCGTGGTATAGTAGGCCAAAACCTCCTTTCTAAGGAGAGGCCTATGTCCAGCAGTGGACTATTAAAGGCTGTCGATGATGATGATGATGATGACGTAAATAATTTGAGAAATGAATTTTTAAAGTAACATAACAAATACACAGATTACATATCGTTTATACAATTTCGATCTGATCACCTCATCATCCGAATTGTTCAGTGACTGTGAGAGTAGGGATGAGATGTCTTTTATGTTGTAAGCACCCACTGAAAAAGGATTTTTTTGGAAAATTTCATCCCTTAGTAGGTATAACAAGGGATGAACGGTTGTATGGAGTTCCGTCATTTTTAAAGTTACACGAAATAAGCTAGTAAAATATTTCAAAAAGAAATATACAAAAATCGTCTATGTATATATAATATAGTCAAAATCACACACAAAATGGCGTTTGATTTAACCTAACCATGATTTTATCAAAAAATATACATTTAAATATATTTAAAAATAATATTTAATCTAAATTATAGTAATAACAAGGCAAATTATTTTAATATTAAATAATTTTGCGGATTTCACCGCCAATGTGTTAAGTTGTTGAGAGCGGGTTCGATTTCTGGACGAAGACATTCATTATTTGGTTCGCAGATGTGTTAAAAACTATTTTAATAAAGTCCATTATAACAATAATGATTTCTTTTTATCACTAAGGTGGCAAACAAATCGTGATTTGTAAAAGTAGTTAGACTGGGTTTACTTATATTTATGCACAGAAGGTAGGTAGGTAGGTAAGGTAGCGGGGTACGGATTGTCTCCGTCTCACTCCAGACTCTAGCCGTCTCCCTCGCACTCGTGTGAACAGCGCAGTCAGCTCAACATAACTGCTGCTCGTACAAGTCCGGTTCCAGGCGTCGAACCCGCACTCGTTGTCTGTAGTGGTACTCCTTGAGGTACAGCCGAAGGCGAGCCGGCAGGGGAAGTTTCTCTACTCCTGTAATAAAAAAAAATACCATATCTCTACTAGTACTATAAATTTGAAGAGTTGTTTGTTTGCATAGAGATTGCCTATTCATCCCGTGGGTGTCGTAAGAGCAAACTACGCAGGACAACAGCAGTGCAAAGAGAAGGAGAACTTGACACAAATCCTATACCAATCAAGTTCTCCTTCTCTTTGCAGTGCTGTTGTGCTGCGTAGTTTGCTCCCTTAATCGGCTCTTACGACACCCAGGGTATGAATAGGGATGGTGACATTCCGTATTCTTAATCCGTCACCACACGGACGAGGAACCACACATCATCATCATCGAGGAACACACATAGTTTAATTTAATATATTTGATGTGATAAGTTTTTATGGGTGGGTAAACCGCTTCGTTACGTAACGCGTTACGGCACCAGTCAGTCTGGCTTCCCTTTCTCTCACGCATACGGCAGCGGTAGGCAGGCTATTCCTCTCTCACTCTAATCCACAGCACTAGCCGTAGTTTGGACAGACGCTTCCCCCTCTCTTTACTCAGTATACATATACTGTTCACAGTGAGCATTTAACCAACTATCACCGTTTTTTAAAGTGATTATTAAAAAATAAACAATTTCAATATTAAATAGTTCAACTTAGATTAGTTGAAGTTATCACTTCTGTACCGAGACGCACACTTTTTTAATATTTTCGGAGTTCTAACATACAGCGCTTTTACTAAACTAAGCAGAGTACTGAACTATGAAAGCTAGATTGACTGATAGAATACTTAAACACATTTTTTTTTTGTAAATACATACATATTATACATAGAAAACACCCAAACCCTGAAACAAATATTTACAGATCATACAAACATTTGGTCCGACAGGGGAATCGAACCCGAGACCTCAGCACAGCAGTCGCATACGCTAAGCAATCAAAAGTGGGCAGTTACTCACCGTCGTAACTGGTGTGTGATACGATGACGGCTCGCGTCAGTTGCTGCAGGGAGAACGGCTCGCTCCTGGGGAGGGGGGCGGTCAGCATCGGCTCGAAGAACATCACACACGCTGGGTCCTGGACAAGAGTTGCATTTACAATCACAATTATGGTATCAATGGAGTTTCTCTTTAATAATAATAATATACCTCACACATCTCACACACGGCCGTCTGATCCCAAACTAGCCAAAGCCTGTACTATGGTAACCAGACCGCTAATGAACATACTTATATATTTTTAAATACATACATATTATAGATAAATTACACCCAGACACAGAACAAATGACCGCACTCATCACACAACTATTTGTCCCGGGTGGGAATCGAACCCTCCGGCATAGCAGTCAGGGTCACTAACCAACAGGCCCGTCGAATGAAATTGATTTTGAACTTTATGAGCATATTTAACCGTTGCTTGGGGAGCCATGCTTCATGGACATGGAGATTATTTCAAATTCAAATAGTTTATTTCAGACATAGTCGCTAGGGTTAGTACAAACAAAGTAAGTTAAGGACTAATGTTAGTAATACACAATCAATGATTATGGTGAGTGGTGGGGATCTTTGCCCAGTGATGCAGCACAGTCCCACAGCTAGTAGCGGTGCAACCGGCCGGCCATAGACTATTAAAATTGGTACTTTTTTAGTCACAGCGATTTCACATGCTTTTTATCAAAGAAGTTTTTTTTTAGATTTAGACATTTCGCGAATCTAGCGCTATCATCATCATCAACAGCCTATAACAGTCCACTACTGGACATAGGCTTCTCTTTAGAAAGGTTTTGGCCGACTATACCACGCTGGCCAGACAGGTTGGTATTGGGGTTTGTTTCAAGTTTTCCTTCTCTTTGCAGTGCTGTTGTCCTGCGTAGTTTGCTCCCTTAGTCGGCTCTTACGACACCCACGAGATGAATAGGGGTGGTGGGTGGACATTCCGTATTTTTAATCCGTCACCCTACAGACCAAATCTAGTAATAATATTTATTGTTTATATTATATTGTACTAATATGTTTGTACTAAATTGTGTTTTGTAAAATAGTCCCAGTTGTCATTAAATTATTTATAAATCATATGATTTGTCAAAGATCATTGTGAATTATTTCGGTCTCTAAGCAGCACATATGAGGTAACTCGCCGACCAGTAGAGGGAGGAGGGGGTGTACCTTGTAGTGCTCGATGAGGCCGGTGACGGTGGGCGCGGCGAACACGGCGGGGTCGTGCGAGTCGAAGCTGAAGCGGTGCTGGTAGTGCTCGATGCGCGCGTGCAGCGAGCGCCCGTACTTGCGGAACGACACTGAGAACAGGTGCTCCTCCTGCGCCGAGTCGCGGAGCAGGAACGTGCCTGGGGGGGGGGGGGGGGGCGGCAATCACTACACGCTCGAACCATCGCACCATCCCTTAGTCAATTTTCATCATCTTCTTTCAACCCACACCTTCCTTCTTTCAACACACACTGCCGTGCTAATCCAAAAGACTAACTTTTGAAAACTGCTTTTGACTTTGAAAGCTTTTGTACAGTTTTTTTTAATGTTAAAACCCTAATTTCAATAAAATATTTTATAGATTACTAGCTCACCCGGCAAACGATGTTTTGCCATATACATTATTTCTAGAAAATGTTGAAAAAAAGAATTAAGAGGTGAGTCACCCTTGTCATTTAGATGTTAGCCGATTCTCAGACCTACCCGATGTGCACACAAAATTTCATAAAAATCGGTCCAGCCGTTTCGGAGGAGTATGGTAACTAACATAACGAGAATCTATATAATATATATAAGAGATTTCCACGTATATAGTCACTCATCACGATATCTCTGGAACCATTAGAGCTAAAGACTTGAAATTTGGTAGGAATATTCTTTTCACCGAGTAGAGGTCAGCTAAGAACGGATTTTAAGAAATTCAAAAAAATAATAATTAAATAATGTAAATAGCAAAACAACGTTTGCAGGGTCAGCTAGTTGTATATATAAGATTGTCTCTTCTAAAATACACTTTAGAATAACAAAAGTGTTGATCAGGAAACCGACGTAAAGAAACTGACTGAGTGTTGTTAAGGCAAAACACTGAAGTCGAGTCGAGCATGGTAGTATAATAATAATATTAATACAATAATATATTCTACCACATTCACACAACGCCATCTAGTCCCAAACTAAGCAGAGCTTGTACTATGGGTACTAGACAACTGATATAAATACATATATACTCTTTTTTTTTGTAAATACATACATATTATATATAGAAACACCCAGACCAAATCAAACATTAAATGTTCATGCACACAAATGTTTGACTTGTGCGGGAATCGAACCCGCGACCTTTGGAATAGCAGTCCGTTACACAAACCACTACGCCATCCGGTAGTGTTGTGGAAATGCGCTCACAAAGAAATATATGTGTGATGTAAGATTGTGTGATAGAGTGAAAAGTGATGAGATAGGAGATGGGTGTGGGTTGGCACAGCATCCTACACTTCTATTACTACCTATGAGAGTTCCATAATGATTGGTTTAGGAGTTAAACTTTTGTTTATTAATATTAAAACATTTCGCTAAAAAAAATTTTGTGTTGTCTATAATTTAGTTTTTGGTTTGTATTTTTTGCTGACTCCTGCTGTTCAGATCAACTGGAAATATTATTTATAGCTTTTTATTAGCAATTTAAGCGTTACTCAGCTGTGTATATTAATATTAGTCTGTAAGCTTTCCTAAGATAAATTAATAAATATATCCGGTGTCAGAAAAACTTTACAAACTTACTTAAAACGGAAACAAAACATCCAGACCCAGACTAACAATTTGAGCATCACACAAAGTGTTGTCCCATGTGGGGATCAAACGAACAACACTCAGCGAAGTAGAAAGCGAGGTGACCACTTAAACCACTAAGCCATCCGTGCAGTCTCATACATGTACAAGTCCCAATTTGATTAGGACTAGCCTATACCCTCTTTGGCTTTGCTCTCATGACGTTCCTTTTGTTAACCAATTCATTATCTCCCGGAAATGGTACATTTTCTGAATGGAAGTAATTGAGGGGTGACACACAAATAAAATCCTGTTACCTTCTGGTTTGTTGTCGAGCAGCCTCTCCGCCTCGTACCGGTCCATCTTGCCCCAGTAGAAGGAGCAGGCCGTGATCTCCTGTAGATCTGGCACGAGGCAGTGGATATAGTCCACCTGCGTGTGAACCTTGGTGGGAGGGGGTTGCGGTTGCGGGAGGGGGGGAGCGCGGATCAGGAGCGCGCGGAGCTCACTGCCACATACCACCTTGAAGTACACAAGATTCAATTTAAAAATAAGGTACTTTAAAATTATAAAAAATTGAGTTACTATATACTATAATGGTTATTCTAAAATCCGTGTGGTGACGGTAAGAACACGGAATGTCATAACCCCTATTTATCAAGTGGGTGTCGTAAGAGCCAACTAAGGGAGAAGAAGGGAGGCCAAAACCTCCTTAAGGAGAGGCCAATGTCCAGCAGTGGACTATTAAAGGCTGTTGATGTGACATATGTCACATAGCATGGCGACGCGTCGCCACGACAATGACTTTACGTATTATATGACATCAAAATAGAACTTGTATGTAGTTATCTATAAATATAAAATGTAAAATAACTGGCTTTAACTAGGGATGGATAAAAATTACAATCACTTGTGAAAAATCATATGATTTATATATCAAATCGTCACGCCTGTGGCTGACTTACATAACCACTGCTATTTAATTATTATTATTACGCTAGCACAAGATCTGCAGGTCTAAAATCTAAAAAAAACAGGTCATAGTCTTTGATAAAAAGACTTCTGATTGATTTTAATGCCATTTATCTTTGTCTGTGACGAAATCACAATCACATGTTAAATCGGTGTGACTAAAACCAATCATTACATCAAATGAATATGATTTAAAAGTAGCAATAATTTCTAGCTCTTACTGTCTGATTTATAAAAATCACATCATCATCATCATAAACAGCCTTTAACAGTCCACTGCTGGACATAAGCCTCTCTTTAGAAAGGAGGTTTTGGCCTACTATACCACGCTGGCCAGACGGGTTGGTATAGGGTTTGCGTCAAGTTTTCCTTCTCTCTGCAGTGCTGTTGTCTTGCGTGGTTTTTTCCCTTAGTCGGCACTTACGACACCCACGGGATAAATGGGGGTGGTGACACTTCGTATTCTTAATCTGTCACCACACAGATTTATCAACGCAGAGCTTAAATCGCTGGGCCTACAAACTTGACATTTTGACAGTTGATGCTTTTTCTGTTGCAAGCACTAGCTAGGAAAGGATATTTGGAAATTTCACCCCTAAGGGGGTAAAATAAGGGATGAACGCTGGTGTACGATAGGCTTGTTTGATAATGTAGTGTTCAGTTATCTTGACAGGGTCGTGTATCCGTGTGTTCGTCTTATGACTTAAGAGGCCCAGGACTAGGCCAGGGTGGTGTGGTATAATGAGCATCATACCTGGAAGTGAGGATGCAACCGGATGGCATCGTTCGTCTGGGTGAGTTCGTTCCGTCTGCCTTCCTGAACTGTTTCGCTCTCCGATCTGTAACAATATTGTGTAACCTGTATACTAGCTGGTACACGCGACTTCGCTCGCGTGGTATTTGTAAAGCGATGCCTAAGAGGTGTAGAAGGGTACGCGACTGCTGTCTATGAGGCCTCGGGTGTGATTACCGCACCGGGCAAACTTTTATAGGGTTTTTCTGAGTGGAAAAACAGTCTAAGTTACTCCTTATATAGACAGCTACCTGGTAGTAAAATATTATCAAAATCGGTCTAGTCGTTTTGAAGACACAGACAGACCAAAATTAGGTATCGTGCAAATAACAGTGTGAGCATGTAAAAACCCAATTTTTTTTTTAAACTCAGCTCCCGCGTTAGGAATACATTCCTATGTCGCGGGGGACTTTACAAACACACATGAAACGGACACAAAGAACACCCACACTCAGAACAACAATTTGTGGATCACACAAAGTGTTGCCCCATGTGGGGTTTGAACCCACAACACTCGGCACAGTAGAAAGCGGCGTGGCGACATTACAAACCGACACTTCAATTTTATTTATTTGTAACCTGTAACAAATTATCAGATTGCGACCAGCTGCCTGAGACCTGTGCAACCTGATTCAAAACGTCAGGTAATATTAAGGCATATTATCATCATCATCAACAGCCATTAGTAGTCCACTGCTGGACATAGGACTCTCTTTAGAAAGGAGGGTTTGGCCTACTATACCACGCTGGCCAGACAGGTTGGTATAGGGTTTGTGTCAAGTTTTCCTTCTCTCTGCAGTGTTGTTGTGCCACGGGATGAATACGTCAGGTGCCACTCTGTATTCTTAATTTGTCACCACACGAACTAATATACATTGTACGAGCTCGTACATGATTTGATGACTCTACACTTTACAAAGTATATATAGAATAATACACGTTTTATAAGGTGTGTGCAATATCGATCGCTGGACTAAACACACGACACGTAGTAGTATAAAATCGCTGATTAGGTAAATCTGTAATACTTATCTCAGTGGAAATAAATCAACACACTCTTATTTCATCTGAACATCACCTAAAACGTCCAAACTTCCACTGCTCCAACAGCTATCTGATGTCACTGTACGTGTCTCACAATAATGTTAATTTATCGACAAAATAGATTTTATACTCACGTTCTAGGAGCCACAGATAAAACATAGACTTCCGCTGTCGGCTCCCCGTTGTCTCTGGTAGTGTCACCTTCTGTAATAGACAATATTTCATTCAGTCAAATTGTTTTTAAACAATAAATCATTTAATTTCATTTGACAATTTGAGGCATTCTCGCTAGGATCGCAGGATAGTTCGGTCATTTTCTTTATAACTTAACACCAGGGTTGTGAAGAATCACGGGGGTTGTCCGGTCAATGGCACTATACGGTGCCCCGGTATGGGCAGCGGCTCTGACCGCCCAGAATAGGGCACGCCTCGGTCCGATTCCGACACACCACCCTGCCGCGAACCCCGGTAGGGTGACGGCCCGAGGGGGTTTACACAAGTAATAAAAATAAAAAAGGTTTATGGCGAATACCACCGCCATCAGCATCCGTAGCAATCGATGCTGTTTTTTTACTGCTGACTTCAAGTCGTGACGTATTCGTTGATAGCTGGACCTAGCGCCAGTCATGCAGTTTTAACCAATAATAGACAGCCCTTCCTTAGCAGTCGGCTAATAAACAAATCCTTTAAAAAAATCGGCTGTCTGTAAAGTCGGTTTACTGACTATAGTTGAACGTCACAACGTCATAAGACACCACATTCACTTTTCACTGCACTTCATACTTGACGAAAACATGTAAATGTATTATTGTATAGCAGCTGTCCACACGGATGCATCGCTCACTCAAGTAGGAGAGAGACAGATGTCGAACGCTACCGAACGCGGAGGCCGATTGTGCCTCTTTGTCGCTCGTTCCGCGCTTGCACTTCAAGCCTTAAATGGAACGCCTCAGAGCGAGGTAACGCCGCATGAGTCATGTTTTTTCGTGCGTGCAGCCGGCTCCATCGAATTATAAGACGTTGTCACGTCAAAAAGTTGAACCGACTTCAAACTATACTAACAAAGAGCACTAAAAACCTTCAAACGCGGTTCATTTGCTGTAATTTTTTGAAGAGTCTGTCTCCGAAACTCATCATTGGATCTATCTATACAAATAAATAAAATTGGAGTGTCTGTTTGTAATATTAAAATAACCGCTTTTAACTAAATGCATATGTATGTTTACACGGTACATATGCCAAAATAACATTTATTACAATTTTTGTCTGTCTGTCTGTCTGTTGGTTTTTTCCGGGTAATCTCTGGAACGGCTGGACCGATTTCGACGGGACTTTCACTGGCAGATAGCTGATGACATAAGGAGTAACTTTTTTAGACTAGCTCCGCCCCGCGGCGTTGCCCGCGGTTATAACAACAAACGCGGGTAACACCGCGGGTCTCAGCTAGTATGAAATATAAGTGGGACCATTTCGAACAAAACAAATATTTTACTAATCCGTCTATAAATGAGAGTTTAACCCGAACACAAAAAAAAACGAATTGATAACCTCCCCCTTTTTAAAGTCGGTTAAAAAGCTGTGATTTGTGTTCTATATTGGTCGTGTATTGTTAATTTAGTAAGAAGTGGCTGTATGGTCTATGGTCGTCTGTCTATGATGTGTAAGTAATGTTATCTATACTAATATTATAAAGCTGAAGAGTTTGTTTGTTTGAACGCGCTAATCTCAGGAACTACTGGTCCGATTTGAAAAATTCTTTCAGTGTTAGATAGCCCATTTATCGAGGAAGGCTATAGGCTATATATCATCACGCTAAGACCAATAGGAGCGGAGCACCAATGAAGAATGTTTAAAAAACTGAGAAAATTTATTACTATTGAGAGACGCAGACGAAGTTGCGCGGGTCAGCTAGTATATAATAATGTTGATGGGATGCTGTGTGCAAGTTATTTTGATAATCCTAAAATAACATCCCTTACAAATATCTCATAGTGAGATAGAACAATTTGTTCCCTCATTCGATTGTTTTTGACCGACTTCAAAAAAAGGAGGAGGTTCTCAATTCGACTGTATTTTTTTTAAATGTTTGTTACCTCAGAACTTTTGACTAGGTGAACGGATTTTGATGATTCTTTTTTTATGTAAACATTAATTTATCGGACGTTAATGATATACTGTGATGCACGTGTGATAATCCATATTTATATTATTAATGTAAAAGTGAGCTTATTTGTTTATTAGTAACTTACCATTGGTGAAAGAATTTTTAAAATCGGATCAGTGGTTTAAGCGTGAAAGCGTAACAAACAAACATTTAAGATATAAGTGTGGGAGTACAGATAACTTTTGTTTTAATCAGAATATTAAGTCACAAGGATATGTTTTATTTGACGACCGGATGGCGTAGTGGTTTGTGTAACGGACTGCTATTCCAAAGGTCGCGGGTTCGATTCCCGCTCAAGTCAAACATTTGTGTGCATGAACATTTGATGTTTGATTTGGTCTGGTTGTTTCTATATATAATATGTATGTATTTACAAAAAAAAAAGTATATATGTATTTATATCAGTTGTCTAGTACCTATAGTACAAGCTCTGCTTAGTTTGGGACTAGATGGCGTTGTGGCTATGTGGTATAATATTATTATTATGTCATTTTATACCTTGTCTGGTCTCCCTTTTATTTTAAAGTATTATTTAAGTAACTTATTATCATCAGCATTTGCTTATACGATAAAAAACCCTGCTTCACACATCTCACACACGGCTGTCTGAACCCAAACTAGACAGAGCCTGGCAACCAGACTGCTGATAAACATACTTATATACAGGGTGTAAGGGACATCGTAACGAATACTGAAATAGTGTATCCAGACCATCACTCTGAGTCGTTTTAATGCAATCAGCTGTCAAAGGTAAAGACCATTCCTCTTAGGTATCGCACAAATGTAATAAATACATGTGTATTCCGTGCAAACAGTTTACGTATACTAACATAAGTTGGCGGCCGGAGGGGAGGCCCCGTGCTCTTCGGCTGTTTGATTGCAATTACATTGCAGTTTATGACCGTATGCGGTCTTTATTAATTTGTTTTCGGTTACATGTTCTGTTTACTCATTGTGTAGTGACGGATTAAGAATACGGAATGTCACTACCCCAATTCATCCCGTGGGTGTCGTAAAAGGCGACTAAGGGCGCAAAACAACGCAGGACACCAGCACCGGAAAAAGAAGGAAAACTTGATACAATCCCTATACCAACCCGTCTGGCCAGCGTGGTATAGTAGGCCAAAACCTCCTTTCTAAGGAGAGGCCTATGTCCAGCAGTGGACTATTAAAGGCTGTTGATGTGATGTGATGACTCATTGTGATATCTTTTTTGACCATAAAAAATATTAATGAATTTTCCGGCAGAAAATTCCAATGATGTTCGACTTAGAATCATGGTCTGAATACATTCTTTCAGTATTCGTTACGATGTCCCTTACACCCTGTATTTCTAAATACATACATACGAGTATTATAGATTAATTACATCCCAACACAGAACCAATGACCGCGCTTATCACACAACTATTTGTTCCGGGTGGGAATCGAACCCTCTAGCTTAGCAGTCAGGGCCACTAACCACAAAACCCACAGGTCCCGTCGTATTATATTTTCTCAGATACGATTCTAAGGCGTTCTTACCTGTATTTATGACAATAGCGTCTAACTCCCGCCTCAGGTCCCTCGCACCAAGAGTCAGCACAGCGGCCAATCTGCAAACACATATTTAGATTTTAAAAAACTTTTATCTATTTATACTAATACTATAAAGTTGAAGAATTTGTTTCTTTGTTTCATATCTCAGGAACTGTTGGTTCAAAGAGAAAAAAAAAATGGACCTCCGGGAGTGCCGACAGAAGTGAAAACTTGTAAATTTAAATTTGAAGTTTTTGGGTTATAACTGGATTTTTTTCTTTTTTTGAGGGGTGGAGGGTAGTCGGGGTACCAGGGATTTCCTTTCTAGCGTACACCTGGTTCCCCAGCTACTGGTACCCGAGACGGCGTGCGGTTTTTGGTCGGTTCGAGTCCGACATAATCCGAGGGGTGATAACGGAGTGGAGGGTAGAAGTGAACGGGGAGCTGACCTGTCGTCGCTGACGCGGCGGTAGGCGGTGCACACGCAGGCCGCGCGCCGCCAGCGCCGCCGCCGGCACGAGCACTCGCGCCCGCTCCACCTGCAACGGGACGAGCTCACGGTAAGCGCTCACTGACATATACGTACGTTCAATCCAAGCATCCAGACAATGGCTAAGAGGAAACACTATTTAGACGTAATAGATCAATATATACAAACTTATTTTGTAATTAAATTAAATTCTTTATTAATAATAATATTTCGAACATCTGACACACAACGCCATCTAGTTTCAAACTAAGCAGATCTCGTACTATGAAAACTAGATTGACTGATAGAATACTTATATACTTTTAAACTCCAAAACAAATATTTGCAGATCATACAAACATTTGATCATTAGGGTTTTCAAAATACCACGCTTGTCACAGGAGCGGTGGGAGAATTACGTAAAAGCTAGAATTGGAGGGGTAGGTCTTCGTATTTACCACGGGTGGATGGTAATAAATTGGACACGTCATATGGGTATGTTCACTTAGCTAGAGGGGTTAACAGAAACACTAATAAAGACCCTCATTTCTAGTGTATATTTAATTTAAAATTAGGTATGTACCTGTCTGTGACGGCGCTGACATATCTGTGTACACTGCTCGGAGACTCGGCGTAACGTCGGCGCTCCCAGGCCCCGCATCCGCAGGTACATTCCCCGCCTGAAACAATGGGTAATGACATTTTTATCTGTATTGTTCGTGTGGTGACGGATTAAGGGTACGGAGGGACCCCTCTGTGGTTTGTTTTGGCGTTTCTTCCCAGAGTGAGTCTTAGGAAATGCCGGCTCCTTCTAGCTGTAAAGTCCGATTTGTAAAAATATCTGAAAAGATTTACTTACGGAAATTAATATCATCATCATCACCACCCCGTGGATTTTGTAAGAGCCGACTAAGGGAGTAAACTACGCAGCACAACAGCACTGCAAAAAGAAAGGGAACTTAACACAAACCCTATACCAACCCGTCTGGCCAGCGTTGTATAGTAAGCCAAAACCTTTCTAAGGTGCTGCCTATTTCCAGCAGTGGACTATTAAAGGCTGTTAATCATGATGATGATATTCTTATCGTGTGATACAGAAATCACACCAAAAGCAAAAATCTGCGACTGTATATTTGTTACGTCTTCACGCTGAAATGGCTGGACCAATTTAAATAAAAATAGCCGCCTCATATAGATAAATACTAACACATTAATAATAATAATATTTTACCACATTGACACAACGCCATCTAGTCCTCAACTAAGCAGAGCTTGTACTATGGGTACTAGACAACTGAAATAAATACATATAAACTTTTTTTTTATAAATACATATATATACATAGAAACGACCCTAATCAAACGAATCGAACCTGCGACCTTTGGAATAGCATTCCGTTACAAAAACCACTACGCCATTCGGTCGTCAAAATAATAATAATAACTTCAGACATCTGATTAAAACCTAGGCAAAACCTATGCTATGGCAACCAGACTCCTGATAAACATGGTTATATATTTCTAAATACATACATACTATGCAAAGGTTACACCCAGACACAGAACAAATGATCAAGACCATTACACAACTATTAATCCTTGGTGGGAATCGAACCTACGACATCTAGCTTAGCAGCAACTTCTAACATTCCTAAAAATTCTCTCCCAACCAGTCTTTTCAGCTCTAACAGAGCACATATTCTTTGTGATTGTGTAGCGTCTTGCAAGAGGGGGAACACTGCCATTTATAATAAACGTCGTACGTTCAATTGGATAATACAGCGATGATTGTAACTCTGATTGAGCCATCCATAATTTTGTATGTGCCAATTGTTCAATAAGCATTCACTTGTATTTTTTACGGCATAGGTACACCTGGTTCCCCGGCAACTGGTACCCAAGACGCAGTGCGGTTTTTGGTCGGTTCGAGTCCGACCTAACCATCCCACCGGTGGGTGGTATCTGATGGGATTTCCGCACAGGAAAAAAAAGAAGAAAAGGGGAGAAGCAGCAGACGAGGACCTGATTTGTAAGTGACTACCGCCGCCCATGGCCACTTGCAACTCAGGAGTCACACGTGTTAACCCCACCCCCAGGATCAGGGAGAGGGGGATTGTGGGTCCTGTAACCTCACCCACCCGATGATCAGTAACGAAAGAACTGCTTAGGAGCGGTTCGGCTCGCCTGCTCAGAGGATCTTCCTTTTAAGTTGTATATAAATTTAAGTAGGGCTCATGGCTAAGTGATAAACGAACATTTTAATACATTGTGAAGTTAAGTTAGCCAGGTCAGTCTATGGACGTGTGACTATTCTTAAAACATTGAAACCCCTCCGTGACTCCGGCAATCTTTACGGAAAGTAAAAAAAAAAACTCCAACACTATTAATATGTCCCGAGGGACTTAGCAAACATATATAAAACGCCCAAAGAACACCCAAACTCAGAACAACAATTTATAAATCACACAAAATATTCGAACCCTCAACACTTATAAAGGAAAGGAAGGAAAAAAAAAAAAAGGCAGTCATCTCGCGGTAGGAAGCGGCGAGATGACTGCCTAAACCACTACGCCATCCGTGCAACAAAAAGCCCGTTGGAGCCCTAAAAAGGCTGGTAACAGTCTGTATACCCAACTGCGATATTGCCTAGAGCTTGGGTTGTGAAGTCTGATGGCACCACACGCCGCCGCCAACAATTGGCCGCCCCACGTAAAAAATCTAACATCATAGGTATCGTAGTACACTTAAAGCCGACCCCAACCCAGTTTTGGGAAAAGGCTCTCGGATGTTGATATTAAATATAATAATACTCACTTGCCGTGCCGTGTGGTGACGGACAAAGAATACAGAGTGTCACCACCCCTATTCATCCCGTGGGTGTCGTAAGAGCCGACTAAGGGAGCAAACTACGCAGGACAACAGCACTGCAGAGAGAAGGAAAACTTGACCCAACAAACTCTATACCAACCAGCGTGGTATAGTAGGCCAAAACCTCCTTTCTAAGGAGAGGTCTATGTCCAGCAGTGGAGTATTTAAGGCTGTTGATGATGATGAATACTCACTTTTCCTTGAAGTTTGCTGACCCATTTTCTGTTATCTGCGTAATATTTAGCTCGTACATGAGATGTTCGTCCCGCGAACTACCATCTGCGAAAAGAAAACAGTTAAATTAATAAAAAAGCCGTGTGGTGTCGTGGGACACCCGATAGGAACGAAGTTGTGACGATCGAGTAAAAAACTGATTCGACACGAATTTAATCACAACGCCATCTATGAAAGCGGCTATTACCTACATATATTTCAGTTGGTTTCTAATTAAAACAATTTATACATTGGTAAAATCTCCTTGAGAAATGGTTTCCTATCTATTCGATAGATGGCGCTGAATGACTGACAAGTGACAATTCAAAATAAATACTGAGATGAAAAGTAATGATTTTCTATCTATTCAATAGATGGCGCTGAATGACTGACATAAAAAGTGTCGTTACAACTTTTTTTCCGTCTAGCCCCCTTACACAACGCGCGATAAGGAACTTCGTTCCAATAATAATAATACTTTATTTCTCTTCGCAATGGTATACTTAGGTATAGCTAGTTAAATTTACACAGTCTAGTCTAGTATTCATATGTGAAGAGCTGGTGTCTGTCAATTAATTAATGTTACAAAGTTTTATCACTATTTTAAGAGTCCAATCGTCATCATCCAAACTTGATTTTTGTGAAATTTATACAATAAAATAAAATTGAAGTGTCTGTAATGTCAAAATAATAGGTTTTTTTCATGCTCACGCGGTTATTTGCACGATACCTATGCCTAAAAATCTGTTTTTTTTTGTCTGTCTGTCATCATCATCAATCTTCTAAATAGCTAGACCGATTTTGATATTTTACTACTTGGTAGCTAGCTAGTCTATATAAGGAGTAACTTAGGCTTTTTTTACTCGACTGCCAAGGAAGGGTTATGTTTTTCGCGCGTATCTTGATTGTATGCATGTAATATTCTTTATTACATAATATCTGCCGAACCGCTGCACGGATGTATTTAATTAACATATCGTTAGATTCGTCTTGGTAACCCAAATGTTCTTAGATAGGTAACGCGAAAAAAAAACAACATGACGACTGTGAGACGCTATGGTTTAAGGTATTTTTTTTGTTTACTGCAATATATTAAATTAAAGGGCTCATCATGAGGGTTTAAAAAATGGTATACCATGAACATTTTTTTTTAAACTGCATTACTTTTAAATTGTCTTTATGCAGTCTTGTTTTGGCTTTTTAAGTTGTTATTCCTGTCAGGAAAACCTTTTAAAATTTTGCCCGGTCCGGGAATCGAACCAAATAAGACAGCGCTTTTCAAATTCTACGCGAATGAAGTCGCGGGTACCAGCTAGTCAGAAATAATAACCTAATTATAACCACACACACGGTCGTCGATACCCAAACTACACAGACCCTGTATTGTTTTTTTTTATTAAGAGGGGGACCTGATGACCTGATGGAAAGTGACTACCGCCGCCCATGAACGCAACTCAGGAGTCACAAGCGCGTTGCCGGCCGTTTAGTAAGGAGTACGCTCTTTTCTTGAATAATTGTGGTAACTAGACTGCTGATAAACATACATCTTATATGCATAGACCAAATGATCTTACTCATCACACAATTTGGTCAGGCCTAGCAATAATGTGGTGACGGATTAAGAATACGGAGTGCCCCCCTCCACCCATGGGAGCCGCAAGAGCCGCCCAAGGAAGCAAGCTACGCAGCACTGCAAGGAGAAGGAAAACTAGCCACAAACCGTATAACAAACCGTCTGGCTAGCGTGGTATAGTAGGTCAAAACTTCCTTGGTAAAGAGAGGCCTATGTCCTATGATGATGATGAAAACTGTCAGAATCGCTAGCCACTAGATCAACAGGCCCAATGACAGTTCAAGTTAAACTTACGTGAAAAGGCGCAAGGCATTAACTTATTATTAAAAGAAGCCCGACTTTTAAACTGGGACTAATCCCACCCACACGGTAACTCCTGTACACCAGGATCCACAGCAGTGACCCACGAACACACCGAGTTATGACACTCGGGAAGTCCCAGGAAGAAATTAAACTGTCTTGGGACCCGCAACGAAATTAATCAGAAGAAAATTGGAGGAGTTGGAAATACAGTAAATTTCTCTCCTTAGCAAAGCGGGAGACAAAAAAAGTAAAATTCCCTGTTTAAAAGTACACCCTTTTAAACAGGGAAGCACCACGGCCACAAAATATTACGGGTCCTACGTGAGCTACATTTGATTTCTATAATATGTATGGCAGAATCGCCTAAACGCACGGCAATTCACCCTAGTTGACACAAGAAGCAAGAAGCCCGACTGCGACAAAACGTTTACAAAAACCGGCCTTTTATAACTACTATAATTTTCACGTTCACTCTCATAATTAAAACGAATCTAACGAAACCCCAAAAGACAACCCGCGGAAACTCAAGGCGTTCTTTAATTTACTTAGATACTTATCAGTCTTATGACTATTTTAAACCACTAACAACGTTACTAAGATTTTATCTGCATTCCACAAAGGCGTAGTTCAATCGTGCACAGGTCAATGACGACAGCGCTATTGTCAACAACATTGTCGCACTTATTGTGATGTATTTGTTGAGAAGACAATGTGGTACATGAGACCATAACATGCATTATCGATTTCCACGAATATAGAGGCCACATCCAAGATGCAAGAACCGCTTAGCTGCGAGGAAAATGTACTCAGATAAAACTGTATTCTGGCACATAATATATGAACACAATCGATCCGCCATGGCTTCGTACGGGTGCAATGTAGATACTACTAATGTGGTGTCAGTGTGGACTAGTTAATTATACTATAATTATAATAGGACATCTGATCCTGGCCGCTGCCGTACGTACGACCCGAAGCGGCAACGGCCGTTTAGTCCCCGCATTTTAAACCTCTAATATCTTCTAAAAAATAAATTTTAATGATATGCTGTAAAGAGCAATATAAATCTACATTAAAGGCACATAATTTAATTGGATAAGGAATGATAATGTATCTTTTAATTACCTTCGTAAATAACCCTTCTTTTTTTTTGTAATATTTAAAAGATAAAACCTTAGGAGATATAAAAATATACCATCACGAACTTTTTGTAGATCTTTTAAAGAAATACAATTCCGTAGTACATTACTTTGGTCTATCTCGTGAGGATTACCCAGCGTTTGCAAAACTATGTTTTTTAAGACAAATCTTTAAAATTCTCGATTCCCTCTACTATAATATGCATGTATTATACATATAAACCTGCCTCTAGAATCACTCTCTGTATATGTGAAAACTGAATTAAAATCCGTTGCTTAGTTTAAAAGATCTAAGCATACAACACAAAAAAAGCGACTTTGTTTTATACTACGTGAAGATCAAATTACTACCGCCGCACATGGACACCTGCAACCTCCCAAGAGACAAGTGCGTTGACGCTTGGAGGAGGGGACAGGTAGGTTTGTTTTTGCCAGTCGTGTCAGCCGATATATGCCATGGCGAAGATCTGGCACGTTAGAAGTAATGTACTTGTTGGAAAGAAACTCATTGCCAACTTATCTGCGTCGTCAACCCCGTGTTCATTATGTTGTCCTCCAGTGCCATAAAATTCAAAATCGCTCCTAGAAGCCCCTAGGAGGCTTTTGCGCTTCTGGAAGGAACTTGGTTGGCTCACCTAGCCAACCAAGCGTAAAGGACCATCTTGAGTCTAAATGCGGAAACCGGAGCCCACAACCAATACCAATAGGGTAAAGGCGAGCGTAGCCATGGGGATTAGCTAGTCTATAATACAAGTGTAAACGTACATAAAAAAGAAATTTTAATTTTATATTGCGTCTGCTTCCCACACATGCTGCTATATCATAACCGCAGATTAACCTTACAGCTAAAAATATCTTCAAAAGCTGAGTCATAGGCCATCTGAATTAATGTGAGGGACTTTAATTGATTTTAATTGTGGCAATTTATACCCAGCACCACACTTAACAGGACACAAAGTAATTGTGGATGCACATACGGATTTACTAGCCAGGATCCACTTTATAACAAAGCTGACTCGCACAAGTATCTTTTCGTAGTAAAAAATCAGTTTTGTAGATCTTTCTAAGTACGCAACAGATTTTATTGCTGTTTTCATCAATAGAGATAGTGATTCAAGAAGCAGGTTTATATTCATAATATATGCATATTCATCAATCAGCAACGGTCATTAACTCCTCACGTGCCCCTACACTGATCAGTGCAAATCTTGCCTTTTCGCTGCTTATGAGAGGTTAATGTTCCACTGCTGAACATAGGCCTCCCTTTAAGTGTTTTTTTTTCACACTATATGCATATTATAGTACAGGAAATCCAAGAATTTGAAAGATTTGTCACATAAAACATTGCAAACGCTGGTTAAACCTAGATAGATTAAAATAATATAAATAATCTTACAGAGATTGTTACATTGATACACACACACACTTTTCTTTTAAAAAGGCAATTCCCGCATTAGGAATATATTCCTGTGTCGCTGGGGACCTTACAGACATACATGAAACAGACACAAAGAACAATAAATAAAATTGAAGTGTCTGTTTGTGATGTTAAATAATAGGTTTCTTTCATGCTTACACGGTTATTTGCACGATACATATGCCTGAAAACCAGTTTAAATATTTTTTGTCTGTCTGTCTCTTTGTTCCAGGTACTCTTCAAAACTATCCATTTGGTGGCCTTTGTTCAGCAGTGGACTGTTATAGGCTGTTGATGATGATGACTCTTCAAAACGGCTGGACCAATTTTGATAATATTTTACTACCAAGTAGCTGTCTATATAAGGAGTACTTTTCTCTCAGAAAAACCCTATAAAATTTTGCCTGGCCAAGAAAGTCTGCCGGAAGTTGCAGGCATCAGCTAGTTTGGTAATATAAGTATGTTTATCAGAAGTCCGGTTATCACAGTGCAGGCTCGGCTTAGTTTGGCATTGACACATTTCAATGACTTAATTTATAATTAATATGCCATCACATTTAATAAACTGCATTTTAGAAACACACAAAGATCAAAACTTTGATGTTTTTCTTAGTAATTAGTCATAATTTTCAAACAAATTAATAATTGTGTCAATAATGCTTAATAAACAATATTATTGTGAAACTGTCGTTCCAGTTATGTTAATTCATGATAAATCAAGAGTTAGTCATTGAAGAGACTACCTAAAACCTATCTGCAACTCTGCTATTTTAAATAGCACAATAATTTTAAACTTAAAATGACTATTAAATAACTAATTATTTAATAATAGGTATTGAATTGAATCTAAGAACGAGTACTAAAAAGGATTTATACAACAAATCTAAACCACATTTTTTTTTATAAAACTTGGATTGGACAGGTCTCAACAAGTTCAATAACCTTACACGACCTGCTTACAAAGACGATTTAAACGTTTTCAGTAACTTTTTGCTGCTATTCCGAGTGACGACAAAAGGTACAAATAAAATACTAGACGTGTAAAATAGAGAAATAAACAAAATCATAATATTTAAGACCTACTTCCGCCATCTTGAAATTGAACATCAATAAAATAACGTGTGATTATTAATTAGTAAATAATATCAATACTCACGTCTATTGTAATACCTATTGTTGTGTTGTTATATTCATTCGCATAATATTATCGTTTGTGATATATTCTTATGACGAATCACAAAGAATCGATGCTCGGTCGTTCATTTTTTACACTATAAATAACTGCACAGTTCGTGTGATCACTAAAACACATATACTGATATATTTACTAACAAATAAATGCACAATTTTTATTCATATTCACATTTATAATTTACAATTGCTTCGTGAAATTAGCACACACCAAATACGCAGTTCATCATCCATCGGACCATCGGTATGACCACAGATGGTATGACATTTTTGTTTGATTTCGTTCCGTTTTTCCTTACCATATTGGACTGCTGGTTTGCAAAAAAAAATGTTTTTTATGACTGAAAAATAAAATTTCATAATGTGACATAACAATATAGTATCTCATTGTTTAATATTTCATCAATTAGCTCTATGGTTGTTTTTACAATTTACATGGATTGAAGAAACCGAAAAGCCAAAGAAACGATTAACCCGGGGCAACTTTTGCGTGTAACCGACCGTTAGTGTCAAATTTGTAAATAAAAGACCATAAATCTAAAAATCATAAAGATATAAGCATAGAGACAACACGGAGTACAGCCACCTGTAAGTGGAAGCATTACAGGACCTGTAATGATAGATGCTCGATAGTTCCTTCTGTCTCTAATTAGCTAAGCTACGATTGGCTATCGTGAAGTTGGCAAAACTTTGATCGTAGAATAGGCGGGAGATAAGAAATTTCCCCAGCCAAAAACAAAGCTCGACTAGAAAGAGATATAGGAAACTATCTGTTAGTCTGGTTAGGGACTCTGACCGCTAACATGGATGTCGAGGGTTCGATTCCCACCCAGGACAAATAAGCACGATGAGCACGATGATTTCTTCTGTGTCTGGGTGTAATTTATCTATATTAGGTATGTATTTAGAAATATATAAGTAGGTTTATCAGCAGTCTGGTTACCATAGCATAGGCTTTGCCTTGTTTGGAATTATTTTGCAATGTGAGATGTGTGAAGTTATTATTATTGTCTTTTATTTATCTCTCCGTTGCCTATATTGCAAGATTGGGGCTCTTGATCACTCTATGCTTAAATCTCTACTCAAAAAATCCTTTCTTCTAAAAATAGAGGTGGAGGCAAGGTGAATCATCTCATATGGAGGAGGGTTGAAAAAGCTGTAAACTAAAATCAGAGGTTACTGGCCTATGAAAAATTACCTTATGAACATAGCTTGTCGACTGAGTTGAAATATTTTAATACTTTTATTGTCTGAAAGTTATTACACATTTATTTACTGCCTGTGAAACTCACTGACTATTTTCGCAGTCTAGTACACAGTTTCTTGTCTAATTTCTCCCTCTCAACTTCCGTTCGCTTCGGCGGATCACACACGATAATATAGTATAAATTAATAATGTATTATCTTAATTTAAATGGTGTATGTTTAAAAATATAATTGATATGTTTATTAAATCAATAAAGAGAATCGTAATAACCCTGACAAGTTTTTGTAATTCTTTAGGTTTTGTGGCTCTGGCTCATAAAGATACTGTCAAGTGACATTCTTGTAGCGATATGCATAAAAATCGAATAAAGGAATAAGAAGTACTTAAAATATAATTATGTGAAGAATAAATAAAATGTAAATAATACAGTGCAACATAGAGTAAGTTTGCAACCCTGTCTGTGGTGGAACCACCATAAACAAGTAATCAAAACTATTTCTTTCAATGCTGTGTCGTCGCCATCTTGTAGTTGTTGGATGTTAAACTTTGTTAAAAATTCATAGAATTTTGTCGTATTTTAAGTTGTTTAAGTGTTTTTTGTGTGATAATCAAAAATGTCTAAACGCCGCATCGAAGTGATGGACCCTTTCATAAAAAAGAAAAGGTTAGTAGCACGTTTGAAATTGTTTGTTGTGCCATGCTCGAAATTCAAGTTTACTTACATTCTTTTACGGACGTAATTAAATTACATTTTTAGTAGAATTTAATGGTCAGTAGACGCCTTTTGTATGAGATCCTATTGAAATTGCTTCTCAAACATTACTATAGGTTAATCGATACGATAATCTAGTAGGAAAATCGTTTTGCGCTTGTCACCGGTTTCTACTTTTTGTGCAATTTTACAGGGAGGTCGGTTCTTTTTCACTAAAAAACTTATATCAACCATATCTTTAATTCGACTATTACTAGAAAACATCACTAACCCTTATTTATATTAGAAAAATATGTTAAAAGTCCACAAACATTGTGCACTAACGCTTTTTGACATACCTATCTAGATATTCTCTGTCTTGTGTTCGGTGTCGCACAGATTTATGCGTTTTTGTTCCGCTCTTAAGGTTAATGGTACATTGTTATATGCCCGATATCCAGTAGGTACACTCAAAATTAAAGCTGTGGTAATAAGGTGAACAGTTCTTGAGTAAAGTGTGTTTAATCAGCAAATAATAAAACTACTGACTTAATCTCTATTACTAAGACTTATTGCCTAAGGTTTGGATTACTGGTCAACTATTGGGTGTTGCAGATAATCATCAACAGCCTTTAATAGTCACTGCTGGACATAGACCTCCTTAGATAAAACAGATAATAAATATACATACAGAACATTTTAATAAAAATATACACATCACATACTAGCAGTTTCATCTGCATTACTAGTCAGATTTGCTTAGCATCCACATTTTATTTTAAAAATGTTTTAACATTTTAAGTCTTCATACATATTTATAACATTTTCTATTAACTAGATTCTTGCCTCATGTCCACAAAGAAAGAAATTTAACATCTTCATGGTCTAAAGCCAGTAGAGTTCATGACACAGGGCTTGTGTCACTCGTAGGGTTCATTAACTCTGCGGAACCTCTCCCTGTGTACCACACATGGTACACTGAACTCTTAACATGCTAATAAATATTTATCTGTTTGGGGTAGACGAAAATCAAATAAAACAAAGATAATAAACATTGGTCCAGCGGTTCTAGAGTTACAAAAAAAGATGTAAACAGAATAAAAGATTTGGACATGTTTGACCCTGTAGCATATTGGATGAATTTATTATTTATAATTTGCTGCATTTAATATTATATGCCCTGATGCTAACTGCCTCGATGGTGCAGTGGTAGTGTATGCAACAGCTGTACTGAGGATTGGTGTCGTTTCCAGGGTCAGACGAAATGTTTGTATGACCTGCAAATATTTCTTTCTGCAAGTTTTCTATGTATAATATGTATTTATATACAAAAAAAAAGTATAAAGTATTCTATCAGTCAATCTAGCTTTCATAGTACAAGCTCTGCTTAGTTTAAAACTAGATGGCATTGTGTGTTAGATGTCCGAAGTATTATATTATATTTCATAGCTCTATTAAATATTATATCAGTAGAATGTATGAATAATGATAATGCACAGAATTGGGTCAATATAAAATATATTTTATGAAAGCTATTAGCACTTTATTATCCTGAACAGCAATGAAAACAAAACAAGCACCTATCACTTGATGTATCTGCCAATGCCCATGGATACCTGTGACTCAAGAGTTATAGAATGCAGTGTTGCCCTTTGAGTCCCTCTCCCAAGAATCAGGGTAGGGAGGGGAAGTTTTGGGGTCTGGTTCTTGTTTTTGTGAAAAATGGGCCCAAACGAGCAGACGGGTCACCTGATGGAAGCCGCCCATGAACGCCTGCAGCTCAGAAGTCACAAGCGCATACCCAGGTGGAGGTCGTATCCGGAAATACCACAGATGATAAATTGTTCCACAGAGAGGCAAAAAGTGTCATGAAAAGCGCACAGTAGTAGAGCGCCAGTTATCAAAGTCGTGGGAATGAATTTGGCGATGGGGGAAAGTTGCTACGAAAAAATTGCTTAATATCTATAATTTATATTATAATGCTTATTCTCTGGGACGCTTTGATATGGCTCTCTAACGGTAGAAGGAATAAATAAAAATAAGAAAAATCTTTATTGCCAAAAATTAGTACCACAATTTATAGTCCTGACAGAAATAACATTACATAGACATAGCATACACATAACACTACATTGACTGCACGGATGGCGTAGTGGTTTAAGCGGTCGCCACGCCGCTTACTACTGCGCCGAGTGCTGTGGGTTCAAACCCCACATGGAACGACACTTTGTGTGATCCACAAATTGTTGTTCTGAGTCTGGGTGTTCTTTGTGTCCGTTTCATATATGTTTGTTAAGTCCCCCGCGACACAGGAATGTATTCCTACTGCGGGAATTGTCTTTTAAAAAAAAAAAAAAAAAAATAGTGTTCTGCTGGTATTTAAAATAGGGTAACCTGTTCTATAAGTACCAGCAACCTCTGCAGTATAGCAAAAAATAATTTTTTTAGGTGGTAATAAAACAAAGATGCAATTAGAATAATCTACACTATAATAGCTTGAAAACTAGAAAAACATGCAATTAACTTAGGTGTGTGTGTGTGTGCGTGCGTGCGCGTGTGTGTGTGTGCGCGCGCGTGTGCGTGTGTGTGTGTGTGTATATGTGTGTTGGGTTCTTCGACTGCCTGTGGATTCCGGTGTCAGCGTGTGTAGGTAGTAGTAGGTTTTTGTTATGTTTGGAATGGAATGTATTTTGTTAGTGTTGGTGTGCCAAAAAGTGATGTGCATTAAATGAAATGTAAAGGTGTGGATGAACCTTTAAAGTTAAAGTATTTTTTTGGTAATTAACATTATTTGCAATTGGAATAACAATAAATGACTCAAATTGATCAATTATTGCTTTTTTGTTTGGGTATTTTTTCTGAACATTACATCCAGTATGCATAACATTGTGAAACCTTGTTTTTACACAATATTACGACAAGTTCCATTGACGTCACTACAATATTCATTGTAAGTTATACATTCAAACACATTAAACAATAAGTTTTGCCTGCTACTACGCTCGCATTGGCGATTTTGTCGATCAAATTTACCGAGATAATTGTAAAAAGATAAGTTTATTTATACACTAGGGTTTTTTTTGTAGCTGCCATGCCGGCGGCTGGGGTGCAGTGGTCTTGCTCTGTCAAGCTATAATGCTCTAGGAAGAGATTGCTGAACGGGGTAAGGAGTGGGCTGAAAAACACCAACCACCCCGACAGTCGTGTCGGGGTGGTTTATAGTGAAGACACACATACTATATCCGCTGTCACCAAAAAAAACAGATAAAAATTAAGATACAAACACCCAGGGCTATCAAAATAATTAAATGTTCTGCTTAAGTCACTAGGGAACGCCTTTTTTAGTGAAGGGGTGAAAAATCTTGTTGGATCTTTGTCTCTTTGCCTGGAGTAATTAGTGTTTCCACTAAAGACAACCCCTACCGGCTGGCTTCAGGCACCCTCCACAGAGCCCTTTTAGTATCCCATTTGAAGCCTTTCTTGCAGGAAAAGCAGGCAAATAGATCAGCCACATGTAAGTGGGGACATCACTGTCTGTGGTCTGGCGGACCACTTAACAAATATTGCCTATGTCATGCATTACATTGTGAAATAAAAACAAAAATTGAAGTACATGATAAATTATCCATAATTTAGGTTTACTTAATATTTATTATTGTTATTCCGTCATTCGTATATTAACAGAAGCAAAAGTCAGATTTGCTGAAGTTTAACACAGGTCATCATTGCTACAATGTAAGTCTTTTCTTTTGTGCTATGGTATAAGGATTAACAAGTACACAGGTTTGGAAAAATCCAATCGCGTTGCCGGCCTTTTAGGGGGGTGTACACTCTTTTCTTGAAAGATCAGAGGTCGTATCGGTCGGAAAATACCTCATTCGACATTATGTTGTGACATAGATTGTTTGTGTGAAGCAAAACGGTATCTTGAAAAGCGCGCAGTGGTGGAGTGTCAATTATCCTAAGGAGGGGTGTTTACCTTTAATTTTTGGCTTGCGCAGGGAAGAAAAAGCCGCAGCGGCAGCCAAATCAGGTGGGAGTGGGGAGTCGTCGGAATCATCAGTAGCCACTTTCGGCTCTAGTATGCCCCCCACGGCGACGAGCACGCCAGGCGTGAACCCATACACTAGTAAGTAATATGTCACAGAATATTTTTCTATTTTAAACTCCCGCTTTGACCTGCTCGAGACCCAAGTTTCTCATGTTTCATTCTTTTTTTTTTTTGTCAAAATGCCTAGTTGACGACGGTAGTCATACCAATATTTCTGCTGACGAATTAGTTCGGTGCTATTGCAAAATAAACATATTTCCTGAGGGCCAAAATGTCGAACATTTTTTTGTGTTTTGCATACCATATTAACGATTAACCTGAATTGCCTGTAATTACTCTCTTTACAGGTCTCCCACATTCCCAACGATACCACGAACTACTCAGACGCCGACTTGGCCTCCCCGTATGGGAATACAAAAGCGATTTCATGAGACTCCTAAACACACACCAATGTGTGGTGCTAGTTGGTGAAACTGGTTCCGGCAAAACCACTCAAATACCACAGTGGTCTGTGGAGTTCGCAGCAGTCACAGCTGGCAAGTCTAAAGGAGTCGCCTGCACACAGCCCAGGAGAGTGGCGGCCATGTCAGTCGCCCAGAGAGTCGCTGAAGAAATGGACGTGGCTTTAGGCCAGCAAGTTGGATACAGTATCCGTTTTGAGGACTGTTCTGGACCACAAACCATCCTTAAATATATGACAGATGGTATGTTACTCAGAGAAGCGATGTCAGATCCTATGTTAGAACAATATAGAGTTATATTGCTCGACGAAGCCCATGAGAGAACTTTAGCAACAGACATTTTGATGGGTGTTCTAAAAGAAGTAATCAAACAGCGATCAGATTTGAAGTTGGTCATCATGTCTGCAACGTTAGATGCCGGCAAGTTTCAGCAGTATTTTGACAATGCACCGTTGATGAATGTACCTGGTAGGACTCATCCTGTCGAGATCTTCTACACTCCACAGCCAGAACGTGATTATCTAGAAGCAGCTATCCGCACTGTCATCCAAATTCACATCTGCGAAGAAGTTGCTGGAGATATATTATTATTTTTAACTGGTCAAGAGGAGATTGAAGATGCATGCAAGAGAATCAAACGTGAAATTGATAATTTGGGACCAGACGCTGGTGAATTGAAGTGTATACCATTGCATTCGACGTTACCCCCAAATCTTCAACAGAGGATCTTCGAACCGGCTCCTCCAAATAGGCCGAATGGTGCCATAGGGCGGAAAGTGGTGGTGTCAACCAATATAGCGGAGACTTCCTTAACTATAGATGGTGTGGTATTCGTTATTGATCCTGGGTTTGCTAAACAGAAGGTATACAACCCTCGGATCCGTGTGGAGTCGCTCTTAGTGTCACCTATAAGTAAGGCGTCGGCTCAGCAGAGAGCTGGCCGTGCTGGCAGGACCAGGCCAGGAAAGTGCTTCAGGCTGTACACGGAGAAGGCCTACAAGAATGAAATGCAAGATAACACATACCCGGAGATATTAAGGTGATTTGGTCGTGTGGTATTTATTTTTTTCGTTATTTTTTAATATTAATGATAATTGTACTCAACTATACTTGAGAAGTAAATTATAATAACTTTAATGTTAGTCCTTGTGGTGACGGATTAAGAACACGGAGTGTCACCACCCCTTTTCATCCCGTGGGTGTCGTAAGACTAAGGGAGCAAAGTACGCAGTAAAAGAGCACTGAAAAGAGAAGGAAAACTTGAAACAAACCCTATACCAACCCGTCTGGCTAGTGTCGTATAGTAGGCCAAAACCTCCTTTCTAAGGAGAGTCCTATGTCCAGCACTGGACTGTTAAAGGCTGTTGATGATGAATGTTAGTCAAAAATGATAGTTTAACACCTTCACTACTGAATAAAACACACCTGTTTATAGAAACTTCCAGTGCTGAAAAAACACTAGCATTTATCGATCCACTAGTACCAGCCACACAACTGTTGTGTTCCGTACAGCAGTGCTAGTAACACACACGTTGTGTTCCCAAAGAGCGTGCTTTAACCCACACCACCTGTTTTGCATGAGACTGCTGCTATAAGGGAACACAACAGTTGTGTTTTATATACACTGTTGACTATTCTGAATACTCCAGTGCTGAAAACACACTACGTACAATCCTTAGCAGTTTAAGGGTATTTTTTATATATTATAGGCAGCAGTGAAGGTGTTAAAAAGTTAGCCATAGTCCATTCGCGTTAAGAAAATACTGACGCTGATATCAATCAGATTGAGCTTTTGCACGAAACGATAATATCTTGGAAGCTAGTTAGTCAAAGGTTTCCATCTCTTTTCACAAAATAACTCCCACCTACCAGCTTTTACCCAACTCTAACATTGCGAGCGCTCATTAGTCAAATAAAACTGGCCGGTTGGTCTAGTGACCTTGATTGCTAACCCAGAGATCGTGGGTTCGATTACCACCTTGGTTCTGTCTGGGTATTATTTAGAAATATAAATAAGTATGTTTATCAGCAGTCTGGTTACCATAGCACAGGCTTTCCTTGCTACGTTCAACGTCGAACGTTTGAAATTCTACCCTACAGTGTCATAGCGTTGAGTTTCAATCGAACTTTGAAGTTCGACGCTGTGGCAGTGCTGTTTCCTTAGAGAATAGCACTGCTAATTGCAGTGTCTAAAATGTGTGAACTTATTCAGCTTTAAATAGTCCACTGCTGGACATAAGCCTCTCCTTAGAAAGGAGGTTTTGGCCTACTATACCACGCTGGCCAGACGGGTTGGTATAGGGTTTGTGCCAAGTATTCCATATTTTTGCAGTGCTGGTGTCCTGCGTTGTTTTACACCCTTAGTCGGCTCTTACGACACCCACGGGATGAATTGGGAAGTGACATTCCGTATTCTTAGTCCGTCACTAAACTTATTAAATTATTAAAACAGCGCGCGTTTCCCCAGCTTTCCTATTCACAAAATGACTGTCACAGATTGCATGTTAGACATGAATGATCACCATATTTAGATATTAAGATATAACGAGTGTTACTGCTATTTGGGATGGAGCATAAACGGCTAACAGCATACCAATTGGCATTGCAGATCAAACTTAGGATCTGTAGTTTTGCAGTTGAAGAAGCTGGGCATCGACGATCTCGTACACTTCGACTTCATGGACCCGCCCGCGCCCGAGACGCTGATGCGAGCGCTCGAGCTGCTCAACTACCTGGCCGCGCTCGGTGAGTCACCAACACATCACATTTTACACTCGCTCCTCAATCCTGTCCGGGGTAGGCAGGCTACATTCATCTTTTTTTTTTTTTTTTTAAAAAGAACACCCGCATTAGGAATATATCCTGTGTCGCGGAGGACTTTACAAACATACATGAAACGGACACAAAGAACACCCAGACTCAGAACAACAATTAGTGGATCACACAAAGTGTCGTCCCATGTGGGGTTTGAACCCACAACACTCAGCGTAGTAGGAAGCGGCGTGGCGACCGCTTAAACCACTACGCCATCCGTGCAGTCAACCTTTACAAACGCTCGCTGGTTCGTCCTGTCTGCAATTCCGACCTGGTTAATGAACATGTATGTGTTCTGGGTGTCCACACCTCCTGGTGAAATGACCCCTCACTTTATGAACTCTCTTAGCCATTCGCTCTTAGTTCATCCTTGCAGCTCAAACCGTTGCAGCAACTCTTTCTCAATTCTTATCACCACGTCTTTCGACTCTAACCATTTACTTACCTTATCATTTTTAATCGACTTTATAACTTTTTCTAAAAAAATTAAATGTTTGTTAACTTAAAACTCTGTTATTTATGAACAGACTTGGAAAATTCATATGTAAGAGTGTCTTAAAGAGTTTATCTGGGACAGAGAGCTCAAAGAACGACTACGCATTTGAGTGTTTGAGTCGCAGGTGTCCGCAGGCTGCTGGTTTGCCGCCTATCATCATCATTAACAGCAACCTTTAAAAGTCTACTGCTGGACATAGGCCTCTCAGTAGAAAGGAGTTTTTGGCCTACTATACCACGCTGGCCAGACGGGTTGGTATTGGGGTTTGTTTCAAGTTTTCCTTCTCTTTGCATTGCTGTTGTCCTGCGTACTTTACTCTCTTAGTCGGCTCTTACGACACCTACGGGATGAATAGGGGTGGTGACACTCCGTATTCTTAATCCGTCACCACATGGTTATGCCTCTTATAGCATAAAAAAAGTACTATGTATTAGATCACTTAACTCACTTCACGACGGACTAGTACTCCTGAAATTCTAAAATTAAAATTAAATTAATTAATTATTATTTTTAAATTTCTTATACTATATTTTTCTTTTTAACCTCCGACGCGTCGACGTTACAACAGTTGTGACACCAAATTTTTACGTGGTAGCGTCTCTGTCACAACATTTAGAAGAATATATATCAGGGATTCCAAATATGTTTATTTCATTGAATATAATTATAAAATAACGTAGATATTGAGGTAATAATGACTTCGCTCAGCTGTGACTGGGTCACTAGTTCAAGGGCGCGACAGTAACGGGTCATAGGTACTCTTAGGACGTCGCGGACTCCCGCATTAGGAATATATCCTGTGTCGCGGAGGACTTTACAAACATACATGAAACGGACACAAACAACACCCAGACTCGGAAAAACAATTTGTGGATCACACAAAGTGCCGTCCCATGTGGGGATCGGACCCACAACCCACAGTGTAATAGTGAGTGGCGTCTCGACCGCTTAAACCACTACGCCATCCGTGAAGTCTTTCTTTCTGATTTTATTGAAAATTAGCTTCCGCGGCGGTAGCTTTCGTATCTTCGCCCGCCTGGATTTAGGTATCCGTGATCCTTTTTTCGCCCGCCTTGAATGGGATAAGATTTTTTGCGACCTCTTCAACAATAATCGTTATATTTCAGTCAATTTACATAAAACCATTGTGAGTTATACACCTTTTTTTTTTTTCTCGTGCGGAAATCCCCTCGGATACCACCTGTCGGTGGCATGTCTATTATAATATAAACAGAGACATAACACACAAAGTTATATTGTGCATGTTAGTCTAATGGTTAATGTCCCTGACTGCCAAGCCAGTGGTCTTGGGTTCGATTCCCACCCAGAATAAATATTGTGTAATGAGCACAATCATTTGTTCTGGGTGTAGGAGTACTTGTCTATGATATTTAAAAAAAGTATGTTTATGAGATGTTTGAAGTTATTATTATTATTTACACTAATAACTAAACTTTTAAGTTTCCCGTCTGCGGTCAATAATAAAAAAAGCCTCTTCCCAATCGAACTTCTGCAGTCTCCTTTCCGTTTTCAATACGAGACTTACAGAATCCATTCCACTTTTTTTTATTTTTTTCCGTACGGAAATCCCCTCGGATACCACCTGTCGGTGGCATGTCGGACTCGAACGGACTAAAACCGCACGCCGTCTCGGGTACTAATAGCCGGGGAACCATTTATACCCTAGAAAGGAAGTCCCTGGTGCCCCGACATACCTCGGGTCATCTACAGACGAGTAGACGACCCCCCCCGTGTGGGAACCCCATGTTCCCTGTGCAAACTCACATCCAGGAAGGATGTGAGTTATACACCTAAACCTTCCTCAATCTCACTATCGATTAATAAAATCCGTACAAAAATCTGTTGCGTAGTTTTTGAGTTTATCGCGTTCATACAGACAGCCAGACTTCATTTTATCATATGTAAGGATAATGGTTACATATTTTGAAAACATGTAAACAAATATTGTATATGTTACTTTCAGATGACGACGGAAACCTGACAGACTTCGGCGCCGTTATGGCGGAGTTTCCCCTCGACCCCCAACTCGCCAAGATGCTGATCGCCAGCTGCAACCACAACTGTTCCAATGAAATACTCTCCATCACTGCCATGCTTTCAGGTAAAACCATACATTATACTGGCTTCGTCTTCGTCTTGGATTAATGTAAATTTTATTTGACAATTCTGGTATACCCTTGGCAAAAAAAAACATGTTTTCAAGACGAAGGGTAAACTACATTATGGTAAGTGACTACTGCTGCCCATGAACAGGAGTTACAAGCTCGCTACCGGTCTATCCTCCATACTACTGTAGGCCAAAGTCTCCATTCTAAGGAGAGGCCTATGTCCTGCAGTGGACTAGTAAAGCCTGTTGATTATGACTGGCTATTTCCCAGTAATAATGTGTATGTGGTGATGTTCCAGTGCCGCAGTGCTTCGTGCGGCCCAACGAGGCCCGGGAGGCGGCGGACGAGGCCAAGATGCGCTTCGCACACATCGATGGAGATCACCTCACGCTACTCAACGTGTACCACGCGTTCAAACAAAGTAAATAACACTATATTCTTTTTTTTGGAGTATACTCCTTAAGAATCGATTTTTATAGGAATTTACGAGCCCCGATGCAAAATAGTTCGTCTAGTATAGAAAGTAGTGCAAAGCGTAAAATATAGAAAGTAAATATTGGTAAAATAATTAAGAACGTTTAATAAAAAGTATACCACAATTTGAGGAACATTTTAAAGTTTATTTTAACATAACTGAAATTCTTTTATGACTTTACATCTCATAAAAAAATATAACATAAATAATATATAAATAATTTAAAACAGGATATGTATAAATTTAAAAAGCTAAAATAGTTTGTTGGTTCATAATTAAAAAATGGCATAAGTAACGCGACATATGATAGTAGAACAGCTTAATATTGTATGTAGATATACAAAAATAATGAAGTTAGAAAAAATCTCACAGAGAAAATTTCACACTAGACGAACTATTTTGCATCAGGGCTCGTATATGAAAAAAATAAGAAGAGTAAAATTTAGTGATCGAATGACCTCGTTTCGTTTTTTGTGTGCAACCTATCGCGGGCACCTTTGTGTGTGTATAACTTGTATATTTGTGTGCAGCCGAATCGTTCTTAACGAGTAAACTCCAGTAGTGGTCGGAGCTCCAGTAGTGGTAGGAATATGTATTTAAATATTGCTAAAAAGTGTCTGTGAGAAGTTTGAATTGGTTTAGTATTGAGTGATATCGTTTGCCACTCACATTAACAAGTTATACGAACTAAAACTTGTAGTGAAAGAAGACGCCACTCTCAAAATTTTCAATTATTAGCAGCGCTTGACTGAGTGAGTAATCATCATTAAAACAAATAATTTCGTCTGAATCAAATCAGGACTGACGATTGTGATACTTAGAATAGTTAAAATTTATATGTAGAAGCAAATTTTTCTCTATAAATATACATAACCATATCCATGGTAATATTATAAATGCGAGTGTGTCTGTCTGTTACCTCTTTACGCTTAAACCGCTGAACCTAATTAGATGAAATTTTGTGTAAAAGGATAGTTTTTATCCCTGAAATAATCCTTTAAGGTGGTGAAAAGGGGTAAATGAAGTTTCTATGGAGAATCAGTAACCACTGAACTGACTGTCCGTGTGGTGACGGATTAAGAATACAGAGTGTCACCACCCCTATTCATCCCGTGGGTGTCGTAAGGGCCGACTGAGGGAGAAAACTACGCAGAACAACAGCACTGCAGAGAGAAGGAAAACTTGACACAAACCCTTTTTTTTTTTTTTTAACGTGTGGAAATCCCCTCGGACCGTCACCCCTCCGGGGTTTGCGGCGGGGTGGTGTGTCGGACTCGGACCGACTAAAACCACACGGTGTGCCACTCTGCGCCTGTAACAGGAGGGATCCGGGAACAGCTGTTATTAAGACATCCGGACCCCTCCTAGCGCCAGCCCGCTCCTGGTGCGGGCCCCGTCTCAAAATTGTTCCTCTCTTTAGGCGACGTCCGGCACACGCGGACGCCGCCCCCTTGCGACTGGCCAAACTAATGCGGGCGGAGGGGAAACCCACCCCGTCCACACTCAGGGCGGCATGAGGCGGTGATAGGCGCGCCTCCGCCGCCCGGTTCGCCGGCGGCGGATCGGGTCCGAGTGGAGGTCGTCCTCCCGGGCCTTCTGCGAGATTACTTCCTCGCAGAAGGTTGCGACCGCGGTAAAACAACTGTCGCTACCGGCCATGGAGCGTAAACTAGACACAAACCCTATACCAACCCGTCTGGCCACCGTGGTGTAGTAGGCCAAAACCTCCTTCCTAAGGAGAGGCTTATGTCCAGCAGTGGACTATTAAAGGCTGTTGATGAACTGATTCAGGTGAAATTTGGAATAGAGATAGTTTGATTCTTGAGAAAGGACATATGTTACTTTTTACTGCGATAACAGACGTACACGCGGGCGAAGCCGCTGGCAAAAGCTAGTTTTTAACTAGATAATTGCTAGAAAAATTATGAGACTATCATAGTATGGAAAGCTAATTCTGTTGGTCGAAAACTCACTAAACTAAAAATCACTAAAAAAAAAATGTTGTCCTGTCAAATTCTACGGTTTCAGAACATCATCAACAGCTTTTTATAGTCCACTGCTAGACATAGGCCTCTCCTTAGAAAGGAGGTTTTGGCCTACTATACCACGCTGGCCAGACGGGTTGGTATAGGGTTTGTGTCAAGTTTTCCTTCTTTTTGCAGTTCTGGTGTCCTGCATTGTTTTGCACCCTTAGTCAGCTCTAACGACACCCACGGGATGAATTGGGGTAGTGACATTCCGTATTCTTAATCCGTCACTACACGGACAACGGTTACAGAACAGGAAACGTTATTTGACAGGACGAAACAAATTTTTAGTGATTTTTATTTTAGTTTAAGCACCAATGTCAGTTTAAGTTATACTGGTATGTAATTGTTGAATTGAATCTAATGAATGAATATGTTAGTTGTTTTGGGACAGTTGTATTTTTATTTTTTGTTTCCATGTTATTAAATTATAATCCATTTTTGTCATATATTCAAATAGATATTTGTTGTCTAGCATGATTCTCTAGTCATTCTAACTGCTGAGCTTAAGATCAAATCAAATCTTTATTTGCCAACCAAGTGTACATCAATGATCTTATAATATTATATGTAGTAGTCCCAACTCAGAAGCCTTTTCCAGGCATTGCAAAAATTTGAGAGAGAACGCAGAAGAATAAATTGTTACACAAGTACAAGCATTTTTTGAACAATACAAATTAAGTGACTCAATAGTACAGTATAACAATCGAACAAAGCATGCAAAAATACGAAGGCACCCGACATTCTACATCACTAATACATATACACATTTTCCTACTGTCCCTAGCATTTCCGTGCATCACCACCGATTTTTCTTTTTATGATTTGTACTTAGGTATATGCTTTCTGTTTTCCGTGTAATAAGAAATGTAGTTTGTTAAGTGTTTTTTTCCTCAATGTATTCTTTAAAAGAATAGAAACATTTTGTAATTAAGAATGCTTTTAGTTTTTTAATGAATAGTGTAGTCTTCGTTTCATTTTTTATGTGGATAGGTAATTTGTTGTATATTTTTACAGCCATGTAGTAAGGGCTCTGGTTTAACATTTTGTGGACTCGATTCCTATCAGAAAAAACAGATAGTGCAATGGACATGTATACAGTCCTATAAGAGTACTAGCTATTGCCCGCGTCACCGCCCGCGTAAATGTCGATTATCGCAGTAAAAAGTAGCATGTCTTTCCTCAATATCAAAGTATCTCCATACCAATTTTCATCTAAATTCGTTCAGCGGTTGTTGATGCAAACAACAAACTTCCACCCCCCTTTTCACCCCCTTAAAGTAAGAGTTCTGGAATAAAAACTACCCTATGTTCTTTCCTGGGACTCTATACGAAATTTCATCAAAATCGGTACAGCAGTTTAAACGTGAAGAAGTAACAGACAGACAGACACTTGCTGGGTTACCTGATGGAAAGTGACTACCCGCCCATGAACGCCTGCACAGTTGCAGGCGTTCATGGGCGGGTAGGTACTTTAGCGGGTAGTCTGTAATATGTAAAACATATGTAGGTTTAATTTAACTCATTACTAATGTTTGCATGCTGTTGTCTCCTATAATTGAGGGAGTTCACCGAAAGATTACTGTGAAGTAACTTTATTGTAAGTCATAACAACTGTGGAGATCCTTAAATAATACAAATAAACTAGCTGTCCCCGGCAAACGTTATTTTGCCATATACATTATATCAAAAAATAAATAAATAGGGGTATTAAAAATAGATGTTGGCCGATTCTCAGACCTACCTGATCTGCACATAAAATTTCTCGAAAATCGGTCGAGCCGTTTCGGAGGAGTTCAACTTCTAACACCGTGACACAAGATAAACCCAGGAGTCATTATCGCGTTGCCGGCCTTTTAACCGTATTGTCGGTCATTGAGTAGCTTGTGATCTTCTAAGTACCGGAGGAGCTGGTGAGAGCTGGCTGATGGAAACAAGCTCCAGGTCTTCACACATTGGTATAACTGTTTCAGATATGGAAGACCCCCACTGGTGTTACGACAACTTCATCAACTACAGATCTCTCAAGTCGGGTGACAACGTGCGCCAACAGCTCAGCAGGATAATGGATAGGTAAGATTTAGAATACGGAATGTCACCACCCCTATTCATCACGTGGGTATCGTAAGAACCGACTAAGGGAGCAAACTACGTAGGACAACAGCAGACCCTTCTTCTTTTTTTACGTGTGGAAATCCCCTCGGACCGTCACCCCGCCGGGGCTCTCGTTCGGCGGGGCAGTGTGTCGAACTCGAACCGACTAAAACCACACGGTGTGCTCTCTTTGCGGTTCCGGTTTAGGAGGGGTCCAGGTAGTTATCGCCTTCTGGACCAGTGAGTTCGCCTTCTAAAGTGAGTTTACCAAAGTTATAACTCAGAGGTCGTGGGACAATCGACTGGCCTGTTGGTCTAGTGGTTAGTGACACTGACTGCTACGCCAAAGGTCGTGGGTTCGATCCCCACCCAGAACAAATAATTGTGTGATAGCATGGTCATTTATTCTGTGTCTCTATCTATGTATTTAGAAATATATAAGTATGTTTATTACTATTCTGATTACTATAGTTCAGGCTCTGCCTAGTTTGGGATCAGACGGAGCGCCGTCTCCCATACATTTAAACACACGTAAGATGTGTGTGTGTGTAAAATGTTATTATTATTAATTCCCGTCCTAGACAAATAATTGTGTAATGAGTGTGATCATTTGTACTGTTTGGGTGTAGTTTATTTATAACTAGCTGACCCGCGCAACTTCGTCTGCGTCTCTCAATAGTAATAAATTTTCTCCGTTTTTGAAACATTCTTCATTGGTGCTCCGCTCCTATTTGTCTTAGCGTGATGATATATAGCCTATAGCCTTCCTCGATAAATGGGCTATCTAACACTAAAATAATTATTCAAATCGGACCAGTAGTTCCTGAGATTAGCGCGTTCAAACAAACAAACTCATCAGCTTTATATTATTAGTATAGATATCAATGGTTCCTATTACCAATGTCAGGAATACATTTTTACCAATGTGTTATAACATAGAATCACGATATAAAGTTGTATGGAAGGTAATTCTTAATTATTTAGATCCATAACCATAGTTCAGGGTCTGTCTAGTTAAGAATCTGACAACTTTGTCTGAGATGTGTCAATATGTTATTATTCTGTGCACTTAAATAGAATACTAATGAATATTATTTTATAATGCACTGGTTTTTCCTTTTATGGTATAAGGGGGCAAACGAGCAGACGGGTCACCTGATGGTAAGCAACTACCACCGCCCATGGACACCTGCAACTCAAAAGTCACAAGTGCGTTGCTGCCCTTGGGAGTCCCTCCCTCTCGAGTCAGCGGAAGGGAGGATTCGGGCTCCGGTAAACTCACTCACTTAGTGAAAGGCAACGAAAGAATTGCTTACTCAACTAGTATTATTATTTTACAAATGCATGCATTTCACTGCACTTGTGTTCGTTTTGTTGTTATTCAATGTTCGTCTAGTCTGTTTTTAAAAATGTTCACTGATCCAGCACTAATTACACTTTCCTGTAAACTATTCCAAATGGACCCTATGATTTGGTAGAAAGTGTCTTTTAGGGTTACTAACAGATGGAGTCCTGGTAAGCTTCAGTGGGTGTCTCAATTGGGTATTTGAATACATAATGTAGAGGTTTCCGATGATTTTTACATTGTAGTGTCCAGTTAATATTTTAATTGTTCTATTGTAGGTAAGTTTAGTTCGATAAGGCGGTCCACATATGACATGTTTTTTAACGATATAACCATTTTTGTAGCCCTCCGTTGTTATTTTTCGAGCATTTCTAATAAATAATTGTTGTTTCAGGTTTAATTTAAGACGGACGAGTACAGAGTTCACGAGCAAGGATTATTATATAAACATAAGGAAAGCATTAGTCAATGGATTCTTCATGCAGGTACGGAATATTATATATTACTAGCTGAGACCCGCGGTGTTACCCGCGTTTGTTGTTATAACGGAAGGCGAAGCTAGTCTTAAAAAGTTGCCCAAGTCACTCCTTATGTCATCAGCTATCTGCCAGTGAAAGTCCCGTCGGAATCGGTCCAGAGATTACCCGGAACAAACAGACAGACAGACAAAAATTGTGAAAAATGTTATTTTGGCATATGTACCGTGTAAACATACATATGTATTTAATAAAAAGCGGTTATTTTAATATTACAAACAGACACTCCAATTTTATTTATTTGTATAGATTCAATAATAATCTGAAGATCAATTCTCTTAACCCAGATAAGCCTACTGTCCTATATGTGGGACGGTAGAAATAAAAAAAAAATTCAACTTCCGCACATATTAACAGAATACATTTAATAGATTTGTTGTGACAAGCTAATGTGCTATTGAAATAAAAATTAAAAAGGTGCAGCTATAATATATTATCCATTTTATAAATATTTCATTGAAAAGTATATCTAAAAGTGCATTGCAGACATATAGGACAGTAGGCTTATCTGGGTTAATTCCTTGATAATTCAGTGCCGATCTACTCTCGATTTCTTAACTGTCACAAAAAGTAGTTCTGTCTCTTAAGTGGCTGGTGTCTATAGGGAGGGTAGTCACAAACAGGTGACCTGTGTGTTCAGTTGCCAACCACACCATAAATAAGGGAATGTAATGATCTGTCGGTTACGTTCGGTGCGAGGGAGGCGGCGGCCTGAGGCAGCGGTCGCGGGACGAGGTGTCTCTCAGTAAAATTTTACACAAGATAAAAATTTATTACTAAAAGATAAAGACTTGTTTGATATTAGAAGAGAAAACTGGTTGTTTCTTTCATTTGTTATTTGATAGATACGTACGTCAAAGTTTACTACTTTGAAGTTTATTAAAAAAATATACGTCAAACAAGGTTTGGTGCATAAAAGTCTATTGAAAAAATTCTTGGATATAAATGATTATCTTATATTTTTTTGACTGTGATAATTTGCAATTTTTAGTCCGTGTGGTGACGGATTAAGAATACAAATTGTCACCATCCCAATTCATCCCGTGGGTGTCGTAAGAGCCGACTAAGGGAGCAAACTACGCAGGACAACAGCACTGCAGAGAGAAGGAAAACTTGAAACAAACCCTGTACCAACCCGTCTGGCCAGCGTGGTATAGTAGGCCAAAACCTCCTTTCTAAGGAGAAGCCTATGTCCAGCAGTGGATTAGTATAGGCTGTTGATGATGATAATTTGCAAAAAAAACACAAAACTGCCAATCTCGCGAGATCTCGCAGTATTGTTATTCATAAACTCGTGGGATCTCGCTTGAGCCCCAGTCTTGCGAGATTTGCATTCCCTAATAATATTGACTGTACGGATGGCGTTGTGGTTTAAGCGGTCGCCACGACGCTTACTACTGAGTGTTGTGAGATCAATCCCCACATGGGACTACACTTTGTGTGATCCACAAATTGTTGTTTTGAGTCGGGGTGTTCTTTGCGTCCGATTCATGTACGAGTATGTTTGTAAAGTCCTAGTAAAAGCGGGAGTTGCCTTGAAATAAAAAAAAAAAATACAAATCAAAGGACTCATCATCTAAGAACTGGTTTCAACATTGCAGGTGGCTCACCTGGAGAGGACGGGCCAGTACCTGACGGTGAAGGACAACCAGCCGGTGCAGCTGCACCCCAGCACGTGCCTGGACCACAAGCCCGACTGGGTCATCTATAACGAGTTCGTGCTCACCACCAAGAACTACATACGGACTGTCACTGATATCAAACGTAAGTTATATAAAGATCTCGTGTCATGTATGTTTGGGATAAACTCTGAAACTGCTGAAACGAAATGTGTAAAATGGTCCATGTGTAGGATCTTGAAAAGAAGAAAGAATATTTTTTTTTCACAATTATTGATAGTGATGTGCCGGATCGTTAACAAAGTATATCCGCGGATACGGGTCCGAATACGGATATTTGGTGTCAAGATCCGCGGATACGGATACGGATCTTTAGTTTCTTACTCAATCGAAGCCCGTGACCTTGATAGTTGTCGCCACTTGACGCTTTGCCGTTGAAATTTAAATATTTCATTATTTTAATAAGCTAATACAAAGATGTTTAATTGATCTCATTATAAAGATAGCTCTCTCAGTACCTACGACCTGCCTAGTTGATTTAGTGTAGTACGATAAATGATTGCAATACAAAGGTGCCAAATATTTGTTTTAAGAAATAAAAAGTAATCTGAACAGAATTCAATAGTTTTTCATAGCTACCTAATAACCATTATTCAGGGTTATTTTAAATTTACTGAAAATCTCTGAAGTGCATATTAGTAACATTATAAACAACAACTTTTCTTCTGGACTAACACCGAAAACGAAAGAAAAAAAATTGTTTCTCCATACAAACTAACAACATCTGATTGGTCATTTGAATGGAGGACCAATTTTTTTTCATTTTGACGTTGGCCAGAAAAAAAGTTGCTGTTTATTGTGTTACAAACACATACCTAATAGTTTTACAGTGAATACAAAATCACCTATATAGAATTTCATCTATATAATATGTTTTGAAAGATCCGCCAACAAAGTCACGGATACGGTTACGGATCTCTCTTCTCCCTTGGATATCCGGCACATCACTAATTATTGACTGAACTGGGTAACTGATGAGCCTGATACCAAAAACACCCTTATTTGTACACAGTTTTTATGCAATAAATATATGTCTATGTCTATGGGACGCGCAAAAGTTAAAAAGTTTGAATAAACGAGCAAAATTGATTCTTTTTGAGATATATTTGGATAATTTTGTGTTTATCTACAGTCTGGTTACCTCAGCACAGCTCTGCCTAGTTTGAGATGAGAAGGCCAAGATGTGTAGTTATTTAAAAAAAAAACTTTAATAAGTAGATTAAAATGTTCCCATATTGTCAACAGCGGAATGGCTCCTGAAGATCGCGCCGCAGTACTACGAGCTGAACAACTTCCCGCAGTGCGAGGCGCGGCGCCAGCTCGAGCTGCTGCAGGCGCGGCTCGACTCCAAGGCCTACCAGGAGGGCTTCTGAACACCACTGGCAATATGTTTATTAAACGCCTATTATTTAGTGCTCACAACATCCTCGTATTATTGGAAACGGTTGGCTTTCCACCTTTTCTCCTTGACTGGCTCCTTGGTCCAGTGCTCAGCGTCTGGAGTGATCCCACAGAATCACAAAAACTGGTGTCATGAAATTGTTTTGTTACTTCTCAGTGAGTCAAGCAAATCTGGGCACCCGCCCAGGGTGGTAGTTTCAGGGGGGCCCAAAATTATAATATAATACGGTTTTAAATAAAAAAAAAAAACTATAGTTTCCTTCCAATCATGAAAAATGCCAACCATAATAATACATGTGTGTTTTTTTAAGTTATTTACCTCAAACCCTCTAGATGGGGTGTAGGATACGTTTCCTACGTGCGATGGGCTGCTGCTAAGCTCGATGCTAAATTAAAGACTTCGATAACTCTTTCACGGTTTATTATTATAAAAAGTATAACGGTACTAAGCTATGCTAAAATGCTAATGGACGATTATATGCTCTGCTAATAGTTACGAATGCACCCGGTTTGCTGTCCGAATATGCACTGATGTCGCCGCGCACTTAAGGCGACCGCGTTAGGTTGCTAGATCAGCAAAAGGTGTTCGATCGTAATTATTGCATCGAACATGCTCCCGAGGGGAGAAGATAAGATGAGATAAGCTACATATTACAATATTAAGATGTACGTGAGGGTGAGTTTTGATAATGAATGTTAGGACAATGCTAGATGATAAATGATTTACAAGATGATGGAACAATAAAATCTTATAAGCTAGTTACAAATCTGTACTCAAACGGTTGAGTCAGCATGTAAGAATACAGGTTGTCTTTTCGCGATAGGGGACGTGGACATATCTCGCTTTTTTAGACGTAAACTAGACCACCTTTTTGAAAAACTATGTTCACGCGCACTATTACACACATTAAACTCTTTGTCGGAGGGGGCTGGATCTCCCGCACTGACACTAGAACTTTGCTCAGTTTGGTTTACAAACACACTCACGCTCGTGGGCACGCTCTCGACGTGTTCTCGATGTGGCGCGGCGTTGCGCCTGCGCCTCCTCCACAGGAACCACAGGACTGCTCCCATTGCTGCTACTAGTAGCCCATACGACACAGTGTAGTGATGTATGTCATGTGTCGTCAGGCCGTCGTTCTGCTGTTCTGATTCTTTCAACAATCTTATATTGTCACCGAGTTGCTTTAAAGAATCGTTCATATGTGAGTTCTCACTTGTAAATGTTTCTATATTTTGGAAAGGTAGCGTAAGGTTATGGATTAACTTATTAAAGGGCGTAAACTTTGTATCGAGTATATTTAACTTAAGATTGACCGTATTCTCTGGTTGCTGATAAGCGTACAGTGTTACGTCATGACCTTTAGCAATGCACTGTCTTGTAAGCTGAATTATACCGGCCTTGCTGACTTGGCGCGTTTGTATTTCATTGTCGCATATGATCTTTATAGAGTATGAGTTACAACAGAAGTAAAAATAGGTAGAAAGGTCGTGTAAACGAATCCATTTATTTTCACAGCTTGTCTTTATCATATTACAAGTAGATGAGTCTGTCTTTTCACAGAATTTTTCTTCTAAATTCAAGCTCATGACGGGCCCATGCATATGGCAAAGGTAAGTATCTTCTTGATATTCACAGATTTGTAGATCATTATGGCTTGCTGACATGTAAGTGTCTCTCCTCAAGTTGATCGCTATGTATTCGGATAATGGCTTAATAGTAATCATCATTCTGTTTAGTTGAATCGGTACTGGTATCAAGTGGTATAGCTGGAACATATCCCTACTAATGAGAGGTAAGCTGATTTCAAATATAAAGTATTTATCAGTCATTCTGGCTTTGACTTTCAGCAATTTGTATATTTTATACAAATTAACTTGAATGTTGTCGACTGGCAACACTACTTCTTTAGACAGTTGACTGGACACAATTTGTAATTCAGTACGAAGTTGGTTTGGTGACAAAAGATGTAGATTAAACTGGCCATGATAAAGATTAGTGATTGTATCCAGAAATGATTCCTGTATTCGTTTTAAATTGTGAATCATGTTAATGGCCGCAAAGGCTGCTAATGTGAACTCTTGCTGGATAGATAGAACATCGATCTCCTTTTCTAATGTGTTTGTGATACGGTCTAAATAATTTAGGTGATTATTAATAATCTTGTGCTGTTTAACAATAGACTCCTCTGATCTTTTTAGTATGTTGTATTCTACTTCTATGACCGACGTTTGCTTTCTATATAACTGAATGAAATGGGTCATGTTGCTACGTACGAGGTCAATGTCCCGCTGGTACTTTTCCGCAAAGTCCTGATCAAGTATACCGAACAATTTGTTAGATATCGTACCTACTGCGTTAATAAGTCCGCGACGAGTCCGAGGTTGTCCTAGGTGCTGATTCAACAACAGCTGGTTATAATACTGAAGTTCGTTGTACTCGTGTCGTATTTGAAGGATAATGATATGACAATGACTTTGATCTTTAATTTTATCGCAGGTTTGCTCGAGATATTTCGTAAATTTTGTTACCGCATTGTCTCCCTGCCAAAAAGGAGACATATCGTAATAAGTTACCATCTTCCAACTATCCCTAATAAGCTGCATTTTGCCCAGAGGATCGAAATATAATGTTTGATTACTATTAAATGATGTAAAGTTATAAGACGCTTCAATAGACAGTACGATATTCATAAAGAATAAAAACGTTAGTGCTAGGCTAAATATCGAATAACAATTGTTAACTCGCTTTATTTTATTCGCTAATTTATCGCTTTGTTGCTTAATTGCTTCTGTATTTTGTTGATATTGTTTACTCGTGTCGTTTTCCACTATAGGTAAAAGAGATAATTTTAATATAGGACGTTTAATGTAACCGTTTTTGGTTTTTAAGGTCACTACCCTGACAATGCCATCCTTTCCTGGATGGACCTCTACCACTCGCCCGATAGGCCATTTACCAGAAGGAAAGTTGTCATCGTGAATAGTTACCATCTCACCTACTTCGAGATTCTTTTGGGTTTTTAACCACTTGCTGCGTACAGATAACTGACTGAGATATTCGGTTTTCCATCGTTTCCATAAATCTTGGAACATTTTGTGGACCATATACCATCTTGTTCTAGCATCTTGAGCAGTTTCTATGACTGTTAACCCCGCACGACTTGTAAGAAAATGTGCTGGGGTGAGAAAGTCTATATCATCGATATCCTCAGATAACGAACATAATGGTCTAGTATTTAAGCACGCTTCTATCTGGGACAGTAAAGTACTGTATTCTTCAAATGTTAAGGCTTGTTCGCCGATTACCCGCCTTAAGTGCTGCTTTAAACTCCGAATGGAGCGCTCCCAGATCCCTCCACCACTTGGCCAAGAAGGACAGTTCCAATGCCATTCGATGTTCATTTCGGTTATTTCTTTGTAAAATATATCATCAAAGGAACGTTCTAGTTGTTGCTGTTCATCTTGTAACATCTTATTGGCACCTACAAAATTGGTTCCATTATCGGAATAGATGTGTTTCGGTGCTCCGCGTCTCGCAGCCATACGACGTAAAGCTGCTATAAATGACGAACTGCTAAGGTCAGAGACTACTTCTATATGTACCGCTTTAGTAACCATACATATAAACAAGGCGATATACCCTTTGCATGTTTTGATACCTTTACCTTTATTTGATTTCACTCGTATAAATCCGGTAAAGTCAACTCCGGTGTGGTAAAAGGGTGGTGCTGGATTTGATCTGTAATCAGGTAGGGACCCCATTATTTGGTGCATTTTTCTTGGTTCTTGTTTTTTGCAGATTACGCAGTTGCGAAGCAGTTTTTTGGTAGCTCGATTTCCCTTAATTATCCAATAATTCTGCCTCAAAACCGATAAGGTAAGTCTGGGCCCACTATGAAAGGTGAGCTCATGTGCTTGCTGTATGAGAAGCTCCGTTAACCTACCACTATATGCGATAATTATTGGAAACTTCATATCTGTGCTAATATTTGCATTTTTAAGACGTCCTCCCACTCTTAATATACCGTTTTCATCCAAAAATGGGTTAAGGTTTAAAAGTTTGCTATTAGAACTAAGTTGTTTATTTTGTAATAAATTAATAATATCGGCTTTAAAATCCGTACGTTGTATGTATTTAATTATAATATACTTCGCTTTCCGCAGCTCTTGTAATGTAATATAGGACGGTCTCTGATTACGTGTCAGTGCAAGTGCACGTAATAACCAGGCTACAATACGACTTATTTTTATGAATGAGCTATGTCGATATAATAAGTCTTCAATGATACTATTTTTAGAATCGTATTGTTGAACATTTGCAAATTGTTTACGTATTTCTAGTTCGGTTGTATATTTCTGGAACTCTGGCTTAGGTTCAAAACCTTTAGTAGATAACCAGGTTGGGCCTTGCCACCATAATGAGTAGTCTTTTAATTGAGACACGGATAGGCCTCTGCTCGCTGAATCAGCAGGGTTTTCCTTAGTCGGCACGTAATGCCAAATATCTGGTGATAAAATGCTAGTAATCTTGTTCACTCTGTTCGATACAAAAGGCTTCCATCTGTCTGGATTGCCACGTATCCAGCTGAGAGTGACCTTAGAGTCACTCCAAGCGTATATTTTGTGCTGTATGCTACTTCCTAAACTATTTATAATTTTTAAAAATAGTTTTGTCAATAATTCAGCGGCGCATAGCTCTAGCCTGGGTAGCGAAACCGTTTTGTTATTAGGTACTAATCTGGTTTTGGCTGCGACTAGTACAACTGAAGTTGTGTTCGCTAATACGACTCGAGCGTATACGACGCAAGCGTAAGCTTTAAGAGATGCATCACAGAATCCGTGTAATTGGATAATGTCATGCTGCTTGCAGCTAAGCCATCTCGGGATTTGTATCTGGCTAATCAAATTTATGTCATCTGTTAATTTGACCCACTCGTTCTTAATATCAGATGAAACTTCGTCACTCCAT